ATTGAACACTATGTCCAAAAGGGATATCCTCGGGGGAGAGAGTGAATATGCTGTTTGGAATATATCTGTGATAGTGTACTTGATTTCCTCTTGGCTGTCTTCTCCAGGGATTTTCTAGCGACACCACTTTCACATCATGACGAAGGGTTCTCCAATGTACAGTCAATAAAATAATTGAATCTATCTTTAAATGGAGTAAGTTTTTCTCAGCAATTGAATGAACGCTATAAATTTTCAAGAGAAGGGGAAAAACTGTTGATAATGAGAATATCTGAAAGATCTTCTATCAGCTTAAATAATAGCATTCTTTAAAGACAGAATGAAAAATTCCATATAAATTGATTTACTTATTAAAGGAATCATTCAATTACTGTCTAATTGCAATTTATGAATCACCAAAGTTAATTATTTTGAAAGATATAATCGAAATGATCTATTAGCTTCCCAGACAAGTTTAAATTCAATTTTCAATTTTTTTTAAATTTAATTTTAATCATCTACTTTTTGTCTTCAAGATTAAACCGGTTAATAAATAGCCTATAATATAGGTCTATACTTAAGTTTGACCTTATCAATTTAAATTCCACGAAATATTGAAAATGAAAAGCTAATAGCTAATATTTTATCTCGTAAATCAAAATTCTTTCTATTGAAATTCCAAGATCTTACAATCTATTTCTCTTCAATGGATGATTTAAGTGCTATCTAAATCCTTACTGATAGAAGAAGAGTTAGGTCAATGTGATAGCTCAATGCTCTGATTCCCGAAAGTAGTTAGATCTATAGAGAAAAAATAATCTTATATATATCAAAGACGAAAGTTATCTGGAATTTTTGAATTGCAAGTACAGTACTGTACATTAAAGAACCTATCTTTGGCTAATTTCCAGTTAAGATCTATCTATTACAATTAATCATAACTTCCGAATTTTTCGTAGTTTTTGAAAAAACGGAAGTTTATAATAAATTGTAGGAACAGATTTTTCCGTGTTTTTGGGAAGAGTTTAACTCCACGGTTACTTTCCCGAGCAAAAATCATATTTCATGGCAATATTTTATATCGGATTAAAAGTGAATTTATCATTATTATTGATATAAATGAGTAAGTACGCAAGGAAACTTATCAATATACAGTATTACTGTTTCAGAGAAAAGTTATAGAATTTTATGTTATAATATTTTATGCATATTTTTTCCAAAATATTCCATACGAAGACAACTCTAATAATTTTTTCTCCGAACTTTCTACGCTTCAATCAATTAAAATAATTTTTATTTATAAAGGTAACACTTTAATTGCCAAATTTTTTTCTTTAAATTTACAGAACATTTTGAGATTTCTGATTGTGGAATAATGATCTGAAAATATCTTGTTAAATAACAATTTTATTGTAACGAGTTATCGAATAACATTAAAAAAACACCCATTTTGGTGAGATTTGGAATTTGTGCCATAGAAACTATAAAAAGTTTGCGTCCAAATTTATATAAATTCCATTATCTTCACATTTTTGAACAAATGAAAATAGGTAGCTTATGTTTATCAGAATGTTTTATGTATCTGAGTACTATATCGTTTTAATATTAAATTAAAAATCTTGAATTTGTATATAAGTATATATTAAACCTTTAATAGCTTTTACGTAAGGGTTGAATTTTGCATAATTTAGCAACGTAATGTCACGTGTTATGCATTTTGCCGGTATCGACCGGTAGGCAATACGCACTGTCGCGTAGAGCATCGATATTGATCGTTAACATCAGGGTAACACTAACAACCGACATGTTTGAAGCATTATTACGCTTTAGATGGCACGTTTGGAAAAAAAATTGTGAAGCAATTCGGTATTCTCTATACTACATTCCAGAAAATCCTTAAAAAAATGATCTGCTCTGAAAGAAGTTATTGTGATCATTGACAAACTGTAAGGAAAAGAAAATGCGAATCCCCGTTGTCAGATGTAGATGTCATACTATTTACATGGCTTGAAGGAACAGGAGAGACTTTTACTGAAGCAAATATTAAAAAGAAGGAAATTTCTTATCAAAAATAAGTTGAGATAGACAGATGCACCACGATAAAACTAAGATGGATTAGCCAATGGTAAAAGACACTATTAAGAAGATGAAGATGGTAAAAGAAGAGAGGAACATATTCGCTAGCACATGTAGTGCATCTTAACATTCTAATTCGTTTTTGACACAAGAAAAGCGCTAGAAAATAACGGAAAATAATAAATTTCACTATGTAAAAATAACAATACTAAATTAATCATGAATTACACAATTTTCTATCATATTAGCAATTCATTAGAAACCAAATAGCGGAAGAACTCTATTGTATTAGTTAATAAATTGTTAAATATCAATAGTTATTATGCAATACACTAGAAAATATTTTATTATTTTATTCAATTAAAATTAATGTTGTCTTTCATTCAGGTGGCTATAATGATTTTAAAGAAGACTTTTTACGCAAAAACAACTAACTAAACTGTAAATTTTTGACACGCAACATCACGCACATTGGATTACATGACTAGTCTTAATTTTTCTCAGTTACAGTTGGCCTCGCAATAGAATTATTAAATTAAACAATATGGATGACAGTCGGGAACGAAGTCTTGATTTAAATTGTTAATCACGATGATCCAAATCGGATTTCAACTCGGGTTCTTCTTGCGGTAGAACATTTTATCGTATGAATAATAAATTAACTACTACGGTTAAATCGATATATAAAATATTTGATTGAAACTTTATTGGAAATTTGTTTGCAAATTAGATATTATATCAATAAATTCGTATTAAATATTAAATCTATATTACTATAAGTTATATATGATGAAAAATAAATATGACATTTCTAGTATTTATAGTAATAAACCATAAGAAATAGATACAGGTTCTCGAACTAATATTTAATATTATTAACTCCAAATAAAAACATATTATATAATATATATATATATATATATATAAATGCAAGTATTACATACATGAAATTCTATTCTCGTATGGCATAAATATATCTTTTCACATATTTTTGGTTCTTTCCGCATGAAGACATTAAAAGAGCCTTTTAAATCATACCCATTACGAGTTAGGCCACAATGGGAATGGCCTGGTAGTGGGGGAGGGATTTTACAAATCCGGAACAGACCGCCCACGAAAAATTCCTGAGGCTCACCCGGATTCGATCACTAGTTCCCCAAAGCGGTAGCTGACATCTTTACTGCCATAAGTCATCCAGCTGTCGAATGATAAAAATTTTTGTTTTTTCGTATCAGTAAAAAATTATAGAATTTACGCTGAAATAAAAAAAACAAATGTTCTTAATTTTATTTTTATACTGTATTTTGTTTTAAAATGAACGAAAGTTAATTTACAGTATATAAAATAATCATTGTATTTAGTTTTCAGTTTTATTTATTATATTTTCAAAAATCGTATTATAATTAAAAAAATAATAGCGCCATTATTTAATTTATCGCTCGTATACCGGATATTTCAATCAAACGGCGGCCGTTGACATGTTTAGATCAAGATGAGTGTCAGTTACATTATAACCACGTGGTTGGTTCACTGCCCGCCATCGGACTCTGCAACATGTGCCAGGACCAATTAGCTAATTGGATAAAACAGATCTTGGTAACAAACCTGTTTTTCAGTTTTACTTAACTATTGATTCGATGCAGGGTATTTCTGTTGTATTGCTGGTTTTGAATTATTATGATTTGGTTGGAGAAATTTTTAAAACATCATGTTTATCGTTTTAACGTAAAACCAATCCGAAAACGTGATCATCTGGCACGTCGTCGATATTAACTTTGATTGCCATTCACCGCAGAGACAACGCTATAATGTTGTTATATCTATACCTAGATCACGAAGAGCACATAGCACATCTGTTGGAAATACTACTTAATGGCTGTATTTAGAATAACCGTTAGCATATTCTTTTCTAGCATGTAAAGAATGGTATTTTCTCAAATTTTCCTATTCACAGTTTGACTTTTAAGCCTTCAAAATAAGTTGTAAAAACAGAAAAAACATTTAAACTTAACAAATAAACATTGAAACAGTTCAGTGAATTTTTATAGTTTTTTTTTTTTTTGAATCATTTGAAAGCTTCCAGCTCAAATCTGACTCAGTAATGGCTTATTTTTCTTTTGCTGATTGTTTTCTCCCATCTGACAAAGATTTATAGCAATGTGTCCAATAGAATTTTAGTGTTTGCTTTTGTTTTTATGCCATGCTGTTAATTAGGATAATTATCACTCCATGAGAACTACACTGAACTATAATAATTGTGATGTTTTTGGTTATTCAACCTAATGATAATAATTTAAAAAAAATAAATATAAAATTATTTAATAATAATCTATATATATATATAAANACAAAATAAAAAAAAAAGAAAAGCAAAATGAAGCAAACAATATTTTAAAAGTAAAAACTAAAAGTAAGTCTTCATTAGGAGTTGTTTTCCTTTTGAATCTTTTCCACAACAAAAATAGAAGTTATTGATCTTTAGTTTGTTAAATGTACTCTTGCTTCTAACTTAAATTTGATCCTTAAAAGTTGAGTTTAAATTAAAATGGGAAGAAAAACATTTTCTTTTACATAATCATTAATATGCTTTCATAATTTAATTAATAAATAAATTATATTGCCAATAAGATTAATTATTGTATTTAAACTTTTTGTACAAGATATTAATCATATATAAAGTATATTTAAATAAATAAGTTGTACAGTTAATATTAAATGGATAATATTAAAATATATTTATTTAAAATAATGGGTAGGTTACTGTTTTATATCTTATTTAGTCTTCTTTATCAATTTATATTACAATCTTGCTATAAATACAAAATGCATATTTTGTCAAAAATTGGCATTAAATGCAAGGTCTGTGAGCTATGCCAATCAATTTTTGCAAAAGTTTGCTTTTTAAATGATCAATTTGAATACTAATGAGTTTATTATTGAAATAGATGGTAGATATAGTGTCTTCCAAACTGGAGAACTGCATATTCGACATGTTGAACCAACCACTGATGGCCGGAGAAAATATTACTGCCAAACAATACACAGAATTAGTGGTGAAGTTAAAAGAAGTAGTTCTTTTGGACAACTAGTCGTTACAGGTAATTACAGGTTTGATTAATTAATGCAAATGAAATATGGTGTGTGCTATTATCTAAAATCATAATAAAAATTTTTATAACAGCTTTACTCATTAAAATATTTCCAAGTAAATTAAAAAATTTTTTGTGTGTAATTCTTTAGAATTTTAATGTGTTTTACTTGGTTTTCATTATAAAACATTGAATATTTAACTCCAAATTTGATACTGAACATGATTTGTAGTTGATATAAATTTTGGATGATATATTTCTTTTGCAGAAGTGCAATTCAAAATTGAAATATTTTAGATCTGTGAAATATTACTATGAAAAGATTTCAATGTAACATTTTAAAACATTTTCTTGTTCACGTATTAATGATATATGACTATAAATTATTTAAACTATTTTGATTTTTGATATTGAAACTTTTATTCAAATTTTTATCAGATATTTAGCATTAGAATTTTTGCATCACTAGTAAAATTTATTTAAAAAGATAAAGAATAATTCAAGAGAATTTTCAAATGTAGATGAAGCAAAGAAATAGAAATGTACTTAAAATGGAATTTTGGCAGCACATATCCATCATAACTTTGAATAAAAATTTTGATAAGTCTTGGAATTTTCCAAATACTTTCAGGAAATTGTGTAGATAAATATAAACTATTCTGACAACATACATTAGTTTCAAATATATACAATATGCAGATTGTCAGCAATTTTTTTCTTACATTTTTATTAAAATTGTAACTTTTTAAAACTATAAATTAAATAAAAAATATTTGCATATACATATTGTGGGTACAGAAACTGTAATTTAAAAATTTGCTATATTATGTAATCATTTGAATTTTACATATCTGCTTATGGTCCAAAATAGAATGTTGAATGTAATAGGAATAGTTTATTATTGATCAAAACTGCAAAATTTAAAGTTAGCCACTTACTCCCATGATATATCAATTACATTATCTCAGTTTACAAAAATATATAAAAATAAAATATGTAAATTAAATAGAAGAAATTTTTTATCTTTTAATTATACTCATATACATTTGTACATTATTAAATATTGTGTAGTGATTAAATTATTAAAATTAACTAAAAACTACTGATTAATATATAATTATTTTTATCATGTTTTATTCATTAATAAGTTTAAAAAATGCTCTTTACAGAAAACACCAATTTAAAAATTTATCAAAGTTCTAGATAAACATCTTAGTTGCAAAGAATCAATAAATTACTTTACGTGGAAGTAATGTCAAAATAGCTGTCATTTGTAATAAGAAGGGATGCTTAAAAATAAATTAATTAAATGGAATTTTTTATGAGTTTCTTCAAATAATTAGAGAGAAATTAAATAGAAAGCATTACATTATAAGAATGGAAATTATTCTTTAACTGAATTTAAATTGTAGTTTAAAAAAGATTTAATATAAACAAACGAAACAAGAAATATTCAGTAATTTTTGTTAATGATAAAGTCTAAAGATTGAAACAACATTAGCAAAATAATATACTGTATAATGTTTTTATATTTTTGAATAGCAAATTGTTTCTATATTTTATTCTCATTATTAAATTAGACAAATGATCTAGAAATGATTTTTCAATATTTAAATTCAAATAAATTTTAAATATTTAATCAATATTATAATTCAGGTTTCCGAGACTCAAAAAAGGTATATTAATAAATTTTAATATACATACTTTGCTCTCCAGAACTTTTGAATTTTTATCTAAAATATTAATAACTTACTTCATATTTTTTATAGTAATTGTTTATTTTAATTTTTTAAATTTTTTAAGAAAAATTCCGATTTAATTGAACAGTCTTGCTTTTAACAAAATTTAGATTAAGAATCATTATACAGTATACATATAAGAAAAAATTGAAATAAAAGGTAAATAAATCTTTCTGTAAAATTATAAAAAAAATGAATTAAAAAAATTAAAAATAGAGTACAGGTAAGATAATTTATTGCTGTTTTATATGTAAACTCTAAACTATGATAAATTCTCAAGAGTAAAGTTTGTTTATTAAAAGTCATTAATAAAAATTTTTAATTTTTAAAAATCTGAAATTTAAAATTATGTTCTCAAAATTTTACTTAAAATATTTAAGATTAAGTTTAAGTACTTAAAATTTTTTTGATTAAATATTATCATTAATTTTATTGTTCTGTATAAATATAATTACAATAATTTATAAAATTAAAAAATATTTATTAACATGTTTAAAATCTGAACATTCTTTTGAAAAATAGTTTTAGATTTATGAAATAAAAAAATTGTTATTTATTTATATGTCAAATTTATTTCTATTAAAATGTAATATTAACAGACTTTAATGAAAAATTATCCCTGAAAAAAATAATGAAACTGTATAAATATTAAAATTTATACAATATATATTAAATTAAATGTAATATATATTAAAATATATTATTGAAGTTTATAATAAACATTAATTGAATATATATTAAATGTTTATAGACTATACAAATCCATGGCATATAAAGTTAAATTAATAAATATGAGTATTTATTAAAATTTATTATTCAAATATAATACTGTATTTTAATACTTATATTATATTATTATGTAACTGTAAGATATTAATATTCAGAAATTGTGACCAATTTTCTATAATTAACTAAGAAAATGTAAACCCAATATTGATCTCAAAATATAGATCCACATAGCAACTTTCCACCAAGAATAATAAACAGAAAACCTAGTGTGATTATCAGACAAGGAGAAACAGTTGAACTTCCCTGTGCTGCAGAAGGTTATCCCTTACCAACAATTACTTGGTATAAAGAACAAGGTTCGCAATCAACTCCAATTCAGACCAATCAAAGATATCTCCAGTTGGGAGGAACTTTGGTTATACAAAAAACAGTTATACAAGATAGTGGAAAATATGCTTGTTTTGTTAACAATACAGTTGGACAAGAAAAAATTGAAACTGATCTATTAGTCACAGGTAATTTCATAAAATTTAGAGTTAAATTTTGAATTTATGAAATTATAGTTAGTTTAATTCATTATGATTTAAAATATTTATATTAGAAAGTTATTCATAAATAAATAAATTAATTTTGCATTACTTATATAGTTAAATAATGATAAATTATTTTGTTTCTGTAATTTTTAAATGCTTTTATTTAACTTCCTTTGTATCATATCTTTAAATCTTGCAACTCAAATTTCATTCACTTTTATAATTAAAAAAAAAGGCTGAATTTACCAGTTTATTTTTCGTTTTACTAGTTTACTAGTTTATTTTTCATTTTAATTTTGAATTTATGATTGAACGTTCCATTTGCTACAAGTTTGAAATATGTTCAATTGGTATTCACCTGATGATGGCCTATACATTAGGCTGAAAACGTTTGTGATTAAATAAAGTATTCTCAGCGATATAAGGTGTTTTATTTAGTGTTTATAAAAGGCTGAAACTTTGAGGACTTTCCTATATCTGATGATAATGCATTTTAGCGATGTTTCAGAGGGTGGACTCACTTCCATCATCATTCTCATTCCAAAACTCAATAAACATAACCAAATGTAGAATTTAATCATGATGTGTCTCTGTGTGTAAATGCACTGTAGTGATGTATATGGTGGCAGTGAGGTCTATCCCAATCTCAAAAAACATGACCAATAAAAGCGTCTTTATTTTTAAAAATGTATTTTAGTTATTTAATATTAGATTTTCATGGGATTACTGACAACAAATGATATAGTTACAGTTGATCTGGAGAAATTGGGAAGTTGTATTTGTTCTTTTGCAGTACAATCTCTAAATTCCTTGCTAAGCTACTCATCAGTACACTTCTGATCATGGGCTTAACTAGAATGTATTCAGATAGTGTTTTCTGTAGTGATTCCTTTATTCATTAAAACATACTAATAAATATATTTTAATTTATATTTTTTGCATTTAAAATGAAATTTATAAAATAATTTTTAATTTAATGCCATTTCATTTAAAATAAAAAGTACAGTTTTCTTTTTATCTTATTTAAAGAATAAAGATATTTAAAAATTTTTAATAAAAGTAAATGGTATTTAATAATAATTTAAAATTAAATAATAATAGCAATTTAGTAAAATTTAATTTAACTTTTATATTTAGTTCAAATTATTTTAAAAAGTATGAAGAAATTTATTGAAAATATAGCATATTAAACAAACTCTGTAAATTATGTTTCATTTACAAAATTTTTTTAATCAGAAATTATTCAAAATTAATGTATAAACAATCTCTTACTACAATGATTTAATAATTTTACTCTTATCTTAAATTTTAAAATTTATATTATTGTATGATTAATTATATTTTCTTCATTTTTTTAAAAATTTGTTTAGTATATTATTATATTTATCAAATTATTCATTTTATTCCTTTATATGTCGAAAGTTGCACATTTGTGTTTGACTAGAGATATCAATGATTTATGCATATTTGGGATTTTGGCATCGTGCCTAATGGGTCTTTCACTTCTACAAACTTAGACATTAATTAACTTAGAAAGTGACACACTTGAGACAATCTGAGCAACTTTATGAAACTACTGCTACATAAATTGTTATTTAGATTGTGATGATACTGGTATTATGATTAAACAACCTTTTACTTTACAGCTCCAATTGCTGTTTCTGTCAATCCAAAACTTGTTACTGCTGTTGAAGGAGATGTTGTTACACTCAACTGTTCAATATCTGGATATCCAGTACAGTCTCTTATGTGGATGAAAAATTTAGAGCCTGTAGTATCAAATAGTAGAATTCAATACNAGATTGCTGTTGTTAATGCTAGTGTAGTTATGAAAAGGATGAAAAGAAATTTCTAGTATTCTATTTTGAGAGTTACTTCAAGCTTTTACTTAAAATTAAATAAAATATGTTCTGTTAAAGAAAAAAAATTTCTTATTTGCTAGTTTTTCACACCAATATATTTGAAAAATGAAATGTAATAGGTAAAACATCATATTTAACAATGCTGCCAAAGGTATAATTTTGTACGAACTCATACAGATGTCCAAAGTCACCCATTTTATGGTGTAACAAAATAGTATGTATAAACTATATTTATCAAATTATTCATTTTATTCCTTTATATGTCGAAAGTTGCACATTTGTGTTTGACTAGAGATATCAATGATTTATGCATATTTGGGATTTTGGCATCGTGCCTAATGGGTCTTTCACTTCTACAAACTTAGACATTAATTAACTTAGAAAGTGACACACTTGAGACAATCTGAGCAACTTTATGAAACTACTGCTACATAAATTGTTATTTAGATTGTGATGATACTGGTATTATGATTAAACAACCTTTTACTTTACAGCTCCAATTGCTGTTTCTGTCAATCCAAAACTTGTTACTGCTGTTGAAGGAGATGTTGTTACACTCAACTGTTCAATATCTGGATATCCAGTACAGTCTCTTATGTGGATGAAAAATTTAGAGCCTGTAGTATCAAATAGTAGAATTCAATACTTATCAAAAGATGTACTTCAGATAAATTCTGTTATTAGAGAAGACAAAGGAATGTATCAGTGTTTTGCATATAACGATCAAATATCATCTCAAGGAGCAGCAGAATTAACACTTGGAGGTATGAATTATTTTATAATTCACATAATTTTTAATATGATAATAAATATAAATAAATAAATATATATATATATATATATATAATATGTACTGTATGTATGTAAAAAAATGATTAAAAAAGTAAGATGAAGATGTAGTTGATGCTATGTTAATGTCATATAAATGATATATGTGAGTGTATTATATGATTACAGTTCTTCTTTCATGTATTATTTTGATTAAAATTTGTTCATTAAATGATCCAGCATTTTTAATATTCTGATAAAGTTATCTCAAGCATATAAAATACATATGAAAATGCTTTTTTAATGCCATCTGTCATATTCTTATATTTGTTGTTGCTGCTTGTCACACTTATAAACTTGTTCAGATATTTCAAAGGTTATTTTCAAGCATATAGTATTTAATGAAAGATTGTTCATCAAAAATTGATGATAAATATATCAGTAGTAAATTTAAAATTTAAATGTTTATTATTATATTTTCACATAAACTACAGGGTGAATTCTCTGTGCTTGCTTAGCAGGCACCTCATGCTCAAGAGAAAGTTTTGACTGTCAATATACTTTTTATATGAGAACAAATATGCAATAATAATTTATTCTAACTTAAAATAAATTATTATTGCATATTTGTTCTCATTTGTTCTCAATAAAAAGTATATTGACAGTCAAAACTTTCTCTTGAGCATGTGACGCATGCTAAGTAAGCACAGAGAATTCACCCCTGCATAAACATTTTATAAAATTATTTATTTTTGATATTTTTAAATAAAAATATTAACTTCAAAATTGTTGATACAATCTAAAATTAACAAATTTTATTTATAAATTTTGTTGATTTACAGATTTTTGAGAAACCATTTAATAGACATTGTAAAATTTATAATTTTATTAAATTAATTTAAATTATCATAATTAGAAATGTATGTAAATATTTGTTCTAGAATACATTTAGCTTATAAGATCAAATTCAAATCATATAGTAGTTTATACATCTATAGATAATTATTCAAAGACAAGAAATGAGGATCTAATTATTTAATTTCAAAATCTGTATGTTTATATATTTATGTAGAATTATATTTGGTACTGTTATTTAGATGATATTTGTGAAATATTTAATTTACTTACAATCTTTACATTAAAATGTTAATATTTAACAGCTACATAATAATAAAATTATAACTTATGGAATTGATTATACTGTTTTTTATTTACTGTAATGTACTGTACAGTACATCAAGGAATTCAACTATGACTATTGAAAGTTTTAAAATAAGAAAATATTTCATGTCTTCTTATTTCAACATTTGTTAATTAAGAAAATATTTTAGATGTTGTAGGTCTACTTTTCACAATAGAATAATGTGGAAAGTAAAATAGAGTATTCTGTGTATTTTGTATTTTTGGAAGAGATGTATTGAGTAGAAGTTCTTTGCTTGGTTAGCAGAAAAATAGCTGAGAATGTTATCAAAATGCTTTTTCATCAAAAAAAAGTTCCATTATAATGATTCAACTTGGGTTTGTGTGTGTATATATATATAATTTATTTATTTGACATCATCATAATGTATTTGAATATTATTATTATTTATAATCTATTTGTATTATATATTAATAATATGTATTTGACTGATTATTAAATTACAACAGATAATTTTGTATCTTTTAATTTTCATTAATTCTGTTTAAAGAAATCTAAATCTGTAAAGATTGTTTTAATTCATTTAANAGAATGTATACTACATGGCATATATACTGGTACATAGTGCTATACTGGACCAAAGTCAAGGCATAACTATAGAAAACTAATGTTTTGTTTATCTGCTATTTGTGTATGTATCTGTGTTTAAGAATTTTCTATGTGATATATGTTTAGTATGACAATTTTTCGTAATGTGTGTTCTATTGTGAAGTTCTGATATTTCTAGAGTTTTGTGTAATGTAGTGGTGTGACACCAGTGAAAGAAAGTGCTACCAGCTCAATACCTATCTCATCTATTCCCTACAGACACTTTATTTTGTGAGCAAGTTCTGAGTATTTGCTAATGTTTTCAGTGTATGTATTTTGTATGTTATAGGTGTTTAGTACAGCTTTGTCTTTAGTGTGTATTATTTGACAATGAATGTGATGTCTAGTCTGTTGTGATGAATTGTTTTGTCTGTGATTATGGCATGGTCATAGTATATACTGTGTGTGTTGTTTTCTATGATCATCTGAAGTGTGTATTTGTAGTTTTATTTCTGAGTGTGTAAAGTTTGTGTTTATAGGTAAGCTTTTGATGTATCATATTTGCTATTTAAAATATGAAGCATGTTAAGAGTATACAGTTTAGTCACTATTGGTTTGTAGAAAGTACGTAGAAAGTATCTGTGTGTAATTTTAAGAATGCATGTATGATCAGGAACTGTATATTTTAATGAAAATGTAATTATATTAATTTATTAAAGATTAACTGTAATCTTTCTCATGATGGCAAAATCTTATATATATTTTATTATATACGAGGGTTCAAAAAGTTCCTGAACTTTATTTATTACAAAAAAAATACTTCACTTACAATTTATTTATCAGGGTCCTCTTCAAAGTAGTCTCCTCCCCAACGTATACATTTATCCCAATGGTGTTTCCACTTTTTGAAACAGTCCTGGAACACTTTTTCCGAAATGCTCATAAGCTCCTCCATTGCCTTTTTTTCTATCTCTGGAATGATGGCAAATCTTTTTTCTGTGAGTGTGTTTTTTAGTTTGGGGAACAGGAAAAAGTCACATGGGGCCCGGTCAGGTGAGTAGGATGGGCGGGAAAGCACAGCAGTCTTGTTTTTGGCCAAAAACTCTCCACAAGTTCTGAGGGACAAATGAGCTGACATGTTGTCGTGATGTAAAAACCACTCACCGCTCCTCCAAAGTTTGGGCCATTTTTGCCTGATTCTGTTTCTTAGATGTTTCATAACCCCCACGTAGTACTCCGTGTTGACTGTCTGGCTTGCAGGTAGGTATTTGTGATGCACAACCCCCTTTGCATTGAAAAAACAGTCAACATCACCTTAACATTTGAGTAAACTTGTCAAACTTTTTTGGGGCGGGGGATGTTTCACCCACCTGTGGGAAGTTTCCATGAAGGATTTCTCAAGTTTCACACAGAATTTCACAGAACAACACTGCTCCTTCAAAGAGCTCATTTCTGCTGATCCAATGGCACCAAACCCCACAAACACCCCTTCACATAAACGGCCGTAACTAATCACCAAAACAAGATATCAACAAATGGATTGAAGGAGGTTACTCAGGAGGTTTCCATGGACACAATGCTTCCAAGCAGATTAAAAAATAACCAACTGGAGGCGCGCTATTCAAAAAGTTCGGGAACTTTTGACCAACCCATGTATATAAGATGGCATATATAAGATTTATTTCAATAGTAATACTTTTTATATTACATACTTAAACATGAAAACTTATATGTGTTTTAATTAAGAAATTATTTTGTTATATGTTTTACTTTTTAGAAGTCCATAATTTGTATTAATGTAAGTTATATAGAAACGTCAATAAACCTAATTAGACAAATATATTAAGTGATAATGAGATGTGAAATAATATAAATAAATATGATTTGTGCATTTTTCCAGTTTCATTTTTTCCTCTATTTTTTCTAGATGATCCTCCAGTTTTCTCATATACATTCCAAGAACAAACACTTCAACCTGGACCATTTGTTTCTCTGAAATGTGCTGCAACTGGAACACCTTTGCCACAAATTACATGGACTTTAGATGGTTTTCCTATTAGTGAAAATATGAGAATTCGTGTAGGTGACTTTGTTAACAATGATGGCTATGTTAATAGTTTTGTTAATATAACTTCTCTCAAATCAGAAGATAGTGGAAAATATTCTTGCCATGCAAGTAATGAAGTTGCAACTGTGTCTTATTCTGCTAAATTAAATGTATTTGGTCCACCATTTATTAGACAAATGAAAAATATTACAGTTTTATCTGGAAATACTTTATCTATCAGATGTCCTGTTGCTGGTTATCCAATTGAAAAAATAATGTGGGAAAAAGGTAAATTTTGCAATTTTTTCTTTACTTAAGTTATTTTATAAAATTCTGTAAAATGAAGTCAAATAATCTATTATGATTAAATAATATAATAAAAAATTATGTAATTTTTCATCATTTTTAAAAAATTACATACAAAGAAATTTATTTTTGTAAAAACTTATTTAATCTTTCATTCTATTATGATAAATGAAATTTATATTATTAACAGAATATGAATTAGAAAAGGAAATAGAGTATTTTTAAAATAGAACAGATTCTATTTGTTTTATTATTATGTAGTATTATTAGAATGTATACTACATGGCATATATACTGGTACATAGTGCTATACTGGACCAAAGTCAAGGCATAACTATAGAAAACTAATGTTTTGTTTATCTGCTATTTGTGTATGTATCTGTGTTTAAGAATTTTCTATGTGATATATGTTTAGTATGACAATTTTTCGTAATGTGTGTTCTATTGTGAAGTTCTGATATTTCTAGAGTTTTGTGTAATGTAGTGGTGTGACACCAGTGAAAGAAAGTGCTACCAGCTCAATACCTATCTCATCTATTCCCTACAGACACTTTATTTTGTGAGCAAGTTCTGAGTATTTGCTAATGTTTTCAGTGTATGTATTTTGTATGTTATAGGTGTTTAGTACAGCTTTGTCTTTAGTGTGTATTATTTGACAATGAATGTGATGTCTAGTCTGTTGTGATGAATTGTTTTGTCTGTGATTATGGCATGGTCATAGTATATACTGTGTGTGTTGTTTTCTATGATCATCTGAAGTGTGTATTTGTAGTTTTATTTCTGAGTGTGTAAAGTTTGTGTTTATAGGTAAGCTTTTGATGTATCATATTTGCTATTTGGTTATGTTGATGTAAATAGTGTCTTTGTATTAAAAGCTTGCAATCTGTTGTGATATGTTGTTTAGTTTTGTGGACAATATGGCATTTCTACTGGTGTCATCTGGAGTTTTGTATCTTTTAAGATATATTTTCTGTAGTTTCTAATATTTATAGCAATTATAAACCTTTTTGTCTCTCCAGATGCATCCATAAGTCAGCCAATAGTTTGATGCAGTTCTGTCATCATGAGCCTGGCTGAGATCATTAATGATGCTTACTGTAGAGCTCCTTCTGAGCCTAAGATTGCCTGATGGTGTCTGTGTAATTTGTATATTGTTTTAGATCCAGGTCAGTGTTGTGAAAGTTTAATGGCATACTGTTTTTGTCTGCAAGAGTTACGGTTTTGGGTAATTGTGGTGTTTCTTGTTTTCTACAGAAAAACTCAAAATTTTAAATTATTATTGCCTACTAGGACTTCCATATATTAATAGGACTCATTATACTGCATGATTGATTGGATACAAAGAGGAAGCAGTAGTCAAAATTAATAAAGTATTAAACCTGCACAAAAACAGTAATCCAGTATGAAAGTAACAATTTATTACTAAAACAAACATTTTTGATTAACTTATTAAACCAGTATTTTTTTATTTTTATCTATTTTACCTGAAAATAAAAAATACTGTTTTGATTTTGACTACTGTTTTCTTCTTATGTCCAAATGATCATACCAGTGTAATAAGTGTTATTGATATGCAGAAGTCCTAGTAGAAGTCCTAGTTGTTAATAATTTAGAGTAGTATTAAGGACAGAGAGGCATAATTGATTAACTCTCACAATGTCTGTATTTATTTATTTATTTATTTATTTATTTATAGTGTAGATTTAAAATATCTGTGAGGCATTGTCTTTCTTCTTTATGAGGAAGAGTCTGCCTTTCTATGGATGATTTTAGGTGTTTCTATGGATGATTTGGTTAATGTTGTTCATGTTTTCTCTTTGGAGTTCTTATAGTTCTGTGTATGTCCAATGTATTGATATAACTTCAAATGAATATGTCAGTACTTGGACAACATATGTGTTGATTGCTTTAAATGTGTGTTTTTCATTCAGTTGTGTTATTAGTATTGGTATATTAGTATTTTTTTTATTCGTTTTTGTTTTATTTGTAAATGTTATGTGAGTTTGGCCTGTTGGAATCCTAAATATTTGTAGATTTTGCCCTCATTTATGAATTCAGTGACATCTTCATTTCAAAATCATCTTTATTCAAAATTCCTTTTCTCTGTGTGAGTTGTTTTGCATTTGTCTAGACCAAACTTTATTTGAATGTCAGTGGAGTAAGTACTATATGTATAAGTTATAACAGGTGATTTAGCAGTGCTTGGGTGGATTAGTAGAAATTTATGTCATATAAATACATAAGACGATATAATATGTTTTGTATTGTTTTGTTGTATTTGATGTTGTGTCCCTATTTATTTAACTTATTGAATAGTGTGTTTATGGCCAGACAAAATGGACTTAATGAGTCTCCCTGGAAAAATACCATACCTTATGTATATTTGGTTTGCTTTGATATATGTGTCGTAAACACTAAGATATAGTGTTCTTCGATGTTGCATTATTTTCTAAAAATTTAATGATTGTTGGATGTATTTTGTGTAGATGTCTTGTATATATTTTATAGGTATGGAATGCTATTGAATGCATTCCTGTAATCTATGTATGCTACATGTAGTTTTTGCATTATTTGTATTTTACATAGAATGACTGAATCTATGAGTAACTGTATCTTTACCCTCTGTAAGAAATTTTGGCATGTCTTATGGATTGTTGACTATGTTTGTGTAAAATGTGTGACTAGTTTCTGTTGCAGAAATGTACAGTACATTTTTACTTTCCCTGGCTCTGTTATATATAATGGAGGAAAAGTGTGATGATCAGGCAATAAATGATCTTCCAAGATTTTTACATTTTTTCACTCAAGGTATCTTGAAATGTTGAGCAATGTAAAAATATTTGAGGGTTTTTTTCTGTATGATTTTGTTCACTCTGTTTCAAGCTTAATAACTCCTGTGTTTTTTGTTGAAAATTTCTGAAATTTGGCAGGGAGGTTTGTGTATTAGGGGGATTGATGATATTAAATTTTGGTGGTTAAAGGTCAAGGGAGTAGGGAGATAGAGGGGTCATGTGTCACATCTTGAGTAGGGTCAGTCTTAATGATGATTTTACTCATTATTAGCATTTACGATATTTTATAAAACCCATCTCTACCCTCAAAATTAAGCTTTTTGCCATTTTATAGTAATTAAAAATATGAGATTTTTTTTTTTGATTCTGATGAAACCGTGTTGTTGTTATTAAGCTGTTTCTTTGCAGACACACTAAGGTGACATATATCAACACTTGGCAACTTATTGACTATTTATTCAGTTGGGACGCCTTTTACATTACGCGTTTCGGGCATTGGCCCCTCTTCAGCCAACATAAAACACAAACCACTATTGTACAGATGTCGAACAGGATGGACAATATCATATTTCATATACAACTTGGATAACAAACAAGGTCGACGATAATCATTGGAGAACAAACAGGGTCGTAGATAGCAGCTTGACTACTGGGCTGTGGTTGATATTCGCATATTACACCGAAATTCATTCGATATTAGTTGTCGCCCTTTCTTTCCGAACAAAATTTCACAAAGTCATCTTAGCAATATTCATATTGCTAAGATGACTTTGTGAAATTATGAATATTGCTAAGATGACTTTGTGAAATTTTGTTCGGAAAGAAAGGGCGACAACTAATATCGAATGAATTTCGGTGTAATATGCGAATATCAACCACAGCCCAGTAGTCAAGCTGCTATCTACGACCCTGTTTGTTCTCCAATGATTATCGTCGACCTTGTTTGTTATCCAAGTTGTATATGAAATATGATATTGTCCATCCTGTTCGACATCTGTACAATAGTGGTTTGTGTTTTATGTTGGCTGAAGAGGGGCCAATGCCCGAAACGCGTAATGTAAAAGGCGTCCCAACTGAATAAATAGTCAATAAGTTGCCAAGTGTTGATATATGTCACCTTAGTGTGTCTGCAAAGAAACAAAAATATGAGATTTTATTTATTAACTTTATAAGAGATGGCATCACACACACAGTTTTAAATGTTGCCAGGAAAGTTAAGCAACTCGATGCTGGATTGTTTGTACCAGAAATTGTGAATGTTATTTGCACCAGGTGTCTTCCAACTGTGTATTCTCTGTACTACATATTGGATATTTTAAACAATCACTCAAAACTGGTTATACTGTACTTAATAAACAAGGTGAAATAAACTAATATCCAGCACAAAAATGTAAGACAGCTAACATTAAATGGTTAAATGGGTGCTAACATTTTCACCTGTGTTAAATTGGCACCTTTGAAGAAGCTCATTTAACACAGGCAAAAACGTTAGCTGTCTTACATTTTTGTGCTGGATATTGGTTTATTTTGCCTTGTTTGTTGGATGTTGTGTATGCTTATTTTGACACAGGACATGATTGCAGTCTCATGTATATTTTTTTATTCCTCTTTGATCTGACTTGCTTTATCTTTATGTGTGATGGATTAAACCAAAGAAGAGACCAATAGTTTGTGAGTTGTTTTTCTGTTAGCAAGCCATTCTGTTGTGATTGTTTGGGAAATTTAGTATGTGTGTAGAAAAGTGCATCATTGTTTGTAAATAACTTAATTTGTTGCTTTTGTATCATTTCACTCTTTGTGATCTGGCTGTTGGTTTTTGCTTGAGAGTGTCAATGTATTCCTGTATTGTACATGCCTATTGTGTTGTTTGTGTATTTTAATTTTTATGAATATTTTCCCAACTTCTTTCATTAAGTTTGTTATTTTTAGTGAATTGTGTTTAGCTTGCCTAATTGTTAGTGGAGTTTCAAATACTTTTTTAAAATTTTGGATATAATGTATGGCAGTAGTGTAGCATGGGTGTCAGCTGCCCTGGCAAGGGAAAATTTCGCCGTCCCTTTATTTAGGTATCTCAATTTAAAAGACTAAAGTAATGAAAAATCCGTGCTAGTGTTGTCACCTTTTTAAAATCGCTGACCCGAAGGGCAGGTGAGGTTTGCTCGAACAGATTTCTGACACATGCGTATGTCATTTTGCAATGCGAAGAATAATGTGCAGTGCATGCCGGTTTTAAATCAGTTACAGTTAGTGACTAGGGAGACTTGGATAGGAGTAACATAAGCAACCTAGATGATTTAGCTCTCTTTATTGGATATTGGAGGTATATATGCAAAAAAAAAAAAAAAGAAAGAAAATTGACAGGTTGTGCACAATATCCCTGGGTAAAATTAACAGTACTTCACCTGCGGGGACGGCAAGTCGATTCCTGGACTGTCTGGATGATAACACTATTCCCTGTGCTCATTTCAATCTGTCCGAATTGTAGTGCAACAAAAATATAAAATGAAATGGTTCAAATTTTTACAAGATGATATTATTATTTATTGTGAAATTTTGCCGCCCCTTAAAAAGTGCTGCCCCCACTATGCTACACCACTGATGTATGGATTTTATATCCATATCAATTTTTAGATAAGAGAAATATGAAATTTTTTCTATACATTAATTATTATAATTTTAACAGTTTTTCTTTTTAGGTGTCAAATTATTATATGAAAAATGTTTTTGGGACTACTAGTCCTATTCAATTCATTTATCTCATAGATAATTGAACTAAGACAGTAATTCTTAACCTACTTAATGTATCCCTGTTAGGTGTGAGATATCTTTTCTTGATAAAAAAAAATCTATTTTTCTATTTAATCTTTGACATATTAAACTGTATATTTTTAAGATTATAATATCAGGTTTTAACATAAATTTTATATGACTTGCATAGTGACAAATTTGAACACGTTTTACAGTGAAGTCTTGCAAGATTGGTGTATAATGTGATATATTGTTTTATTTGCAGTGAAATGAACAGTATGTTTGCAAATTTTGAAGTGTGTACAATGCTTCTATTTTTTTATTTTTTTTTGCTGTATTAAAGATAAAAGTGACCAAAGAACATATTTAATATGTTATTCTTTGAATACAACAAGGAAATAATGCAAGTGAATCAGCTAGAATTATGTAAAATGTCTATGAAAACAATGTTGTGAGTGAACAGTTGTGTTGCTGATTTGCAATATTTTGAAATGACGACTTCAGTTTGAAAGATAATGAGTGCACCAGGTGCCCTCTGATTTTGATGTAGAGGCCCTGAAAACTCTGGTGGAAAATATGCAAGTCATATGATTATTTAAATATATTTGAAAAGCTGGAAAAGTTGGGAAAATGAGTGTGTGCCACATGCTCTATTGCCAGCACAACTTGAACATCATATCAATGTGAGTATTTCATTGTATTCCTGTTAAACAACCACACACAACACTGGGTATAGTCAACAATGTACCCAACAACCCTATGACCGGTGTGCATAGAAAAAAAACAAACATTTGTTGTGAATTTTTGTTTTGTTTTTTCTATGCATACTGGTTATCGGTTGGTATGTTGTGTACTCTTGTTATCTCTGAATTCCATTTTTGGATCAAATTGGTACAGGAGGTGAAAATTGTATACAATATAAGAATATTAAATGTCGTCAGTGACTCAGTCCTGGAGATAAATCAGTACCTCAGCTGAAAGCCAGTTTTATCCAATGAAGATTTTGCTTGGTGTTTGGTGGGATACATTTTAAACTGCTGGGAAAGAAAGAAATCATTACAGCTAAAGTTTACTGTCAGCAATTGGACCATTTGATGAAAGTTCTGCAAGAAAAATATCCAGCACTGGTCAATAGATGATGCATTCTATTCCATCAGGATAATGCCCATCCACACATGACTCTTATCACTTCTAAAAAATTGGAGGAACTTGGCTGGGAAAAAAATGATACCATTCCCCACATTCCCTGGATCTTTCTTCTTCAGATTACCACTTATTTTGGAGCTTGCAAAATTATCTTGGTGGAAAGAACTTCATCTCTTAGGAAGCTCTCAGAAATGCAGTGTCAGCATTTTTGGATTGTAAACCAAGAGAATTTTTCCAACAGGGTATCAAAAAATTGCTCTGAAAGATGGCATGAGGTTATATCTAATAAAGAACAATAAATACAATTGAAAAATAAAAATTCAATAAAATTTTCAATCTTTTTGGATAGAACTTATGTTACAACCTGATAATTTAGCATTTAAAATAAAATTTTCTTTCTTTGAACTTCCTAAATGTTTTTATTTTTGTCATTGAGTATTGAATATTTTTGAAACGTCTTATGTAACTTTGATATTGAATAATTTTATTGTGTAGGCTAATTATATGCTTTTTCTATTGTAAATCACTAACTTTGACATAAATATTTTTATATTGATGAATGGACACAGATGTATTTTTTCTTAATTGGTTAAGCTGTATTGAAAGTTAAGTTAAAATAGATGTGAGAAAATAAGATAACCCTCTTCCTTTAAATAAAAAAATATTTATAGTGATGCAAGTGTGCATTTTAGTTCAAGGGATATGAGCAGTGGAAAAAGTTAAAAATTGCTGAACTAATAGATGAAATCTTGTAAAATTTCCTACAGAAATTGGAAAGTTCATAAAACTTAATTAGAATAAACATTAAAGGTTTTGAATTACAGTATTTTTAACAATATAATTTATATCATTATAGATAATTATACTTACTTATAGATATATTAAATATATATTGCATTTATTTCAAATTTATGTTTTGTTTGTTAAAGATTACAATATATTTTTTCAAAAGAAAAGTAATTACTTATATTAAGAGAAATATTTAATGTTATATAAGAAGTTTTTCCTTACAAAGCTCTTATTATATAATTGATAGGCTTATATCATGATTATTTCAAACAGAGGAGTTTATAATCAATTATCAATTGCAAAAATATCATTTTCATAGATTTGTAAAGAATAGATTAATATTTCTAATTGTCTTTTATAAACTTTGGTTTATTTAACTCAAAAAAGCAACTTTATTAAAATAAATACAGTATATATTTTACTAACAGCACAGTTTATAACTTAGTTTATCTTGAAGCTGTTCTATTTATTAGAGGATGTTTACTATTAGAGAGCAACTATTATTTCTATTCTTTGAGAATTAGTTATGACTATTATTCTAGTGTGATTATAACGGAATAAATTCAATAATTTTTTCACTTTATTTGAAAAACAATGCAACACTTTACACACTTGCACTTTATTTCTCAACATATAATAAGAGTGACAATGCTGAATAATGTGCAATTTTTTAGTTTACAATAAATCTTATCGTCCTCTAATAGACAGCATGCTTACTATTAGAGAGAACTGTTTATTAGAATAAATATGGTATTACTTACACTAATGTTAGTGTTATAATTAAGATTATAATAGAGTTTTCTGACTTTTTTATAATTTAAATTAATTCTTCCTAAGGATTTATAAAGTTATACATTCTGTAAATTTTTTTAGCAAATATGGTTTGATATAAAAACTTAATTATAATCTCAAATAAAATTCTTTATTTATTAAAAAAATACAATGGCCAGAATGACATTAATGTATAAAAATATAAAAATTTGAAGAAACAGTAAATGAAGTTTGCAATGCTATAATGTTGTAAATGCCAAAAAACAAACTTTTCAAGAAAGGTAAGAAACACTTTTTTTAGTGAATGAATTCATTTCACTTTTACAATAAAATGATAAAAAACTCACTAAGTTACAAATTCTCTGGAATATCAAGATGATGTAAATATAAGCTGTAACGTTTTAAGCACCAAAAGTCATGTGATTTGCACTTTGTCACTTTAAATGTTATGGCTTCACATAAATTCAACTTTAAAATACAGTCACTTACAGTGCTAATATCATCATAGTATTTTTTTGCAGCAGAAAGCATTATGTTTAGAATTCAATTTTTCAATAAAATCTATTTAGAGAAAAATGGCATTTACAATGTAATGGCATTGCATGCTTCAAATGTCTTCACATTATCATTACTAAATATATATATATACATACATACATAATTTTTTTATAATTGTGCCATCATTCTGAAAAAATATTTTTAACATCTTTTGTATATTGTGGTGGATGAGTATCCTCTAATAAAATATTGATTTCACTGAAAAGACAGTTGTGTTTCTGAGATTGTGAATGGGATGTAATGTGAAGATGTTTATTGTTTCTTCTAATTTTTATATTTTTATAAAAATTTTTATTGTATATGACAATATAATAATTTTATTGCATATAGCAATTTATAAAAATTAATAAATTTAATTTTCTCAATATATCATCCATATTTCAATATTGAGAAAATTTATTTTATTTCATGAATATATATTGGCTATATCATAAGTTGAAAAATAGTATTGTATTTTTGTACTATTGCAAATTTAAATATCTAAATTTAAAATTTAAAAGATGAAAATATCTATTTTTTATTTTATATTTACATATACTTAAATTTTGAAATAGAAATAGACATTAATAATTCAAAATATTTTCTATTAAAATTTATACAAATATTGTATTGTTACATTTCTGTTAACTGTTTTGTTATACTATTCTGTTTTCTGTTGTTCTATTTTTCCCATTTTAATAATTTATATTGTTTCTTTTTGAATAATAGATGAGGGAATCATATTTATTTCTCTAAATATAATATAATTTTTACTGTAGGAAAAACAAAATTGCCTCAGAATCGAAGGCAAACATCACATCCAAATGGTACTCTAGTCATTCAAAATGTAGATAGATCGAGTGATCAAGGCTGGTATCGATGCTCTGCAGCAAATTCAAGAGGAGAGAGTGCAGTTAGAGAAGTATATGTAAAAGTACTTAGTATGTAAAGTTATTTATATTAATTATAATCTTTATTAAAAATTATTACATAATTATATTTATATATATATTTTTTTATTTATTAGTTGCTCCAGTAATTAGTCCATTTTATTTTTCATCAAATATACGAGATGGCATGAGGAGTACAATTACTTGTGCAGTTGCTGAGGGAGATTCTCCAATCACAATAAAATGGTTGAAGAATGGTCATATGCTATCAGATAACTCTAATGTGAAAATTGATTCTAATAATGAATTTTTATCTATTCTTTTTATAAAACGAGTTACATATAATGATAATGGAAATTATACATGTGTTGCTTCTAACGATGCTGCTACAACAAATTATACTGCAACCATGGTAGTTAATGGTATGTTATTATTTATAAATATGTTAATTAACACACGAGAACCTTATTATATCCCAGTAATGAAAAAAATATAAATAAAACTAATGTTTTCGACCATATTCATAGTCTTCCTCAGGCTTTTGACCAGTACAATTCGAATACGGAATGCGTCTAACAATATGTTTAAATTATCTTAAAATTTCGAAAAATTTAAAACTAGAAGATAATTTTTTAGCTGAATGTGCTACTATAGTGATAAGAATATCTTTACACCACAACAGATAAATAATAAGATGTACTTAATGGTGTAGAATAAGCATCTAATGTTGCTCTCGTTTTTTCTCATAGTACCACCTCCATGCATAAGAAACATTAGTGGCATCCTTTGTGTTAATACAGTTGCCAGTCAGTCCGACTTTGTAAATTTCTAAAGCTTCTAGGTTGCAAAGGTGCTCAATCTGACATGACATTTTTAATAATTTGGCCTTATGGAGGTGGGCTTGTATTTCGGAGTTCGTGGCATAGGTGACTAGGATGGTGGTATGCCTTTGGTTTGAGATATCATAACTGTGTTCCTGTATTCTTTTGCTTAGTGAGCACTTTGTGGATCTGATGTATACAAGATCACGTTGGAACTGTGGTCTCTAGGGGAAACCATATAAACACCAGGTGCTCGATTTTTCTCAGTCCTGTCCTTTCTGTTGTTCAATAGCCCGTACACTGTGCTAGATCTCTTATAGGCAATTTTTGTGCCTTTATGGGTAGCAATTTCCTTAGAGATAGAGCTTAGGTGCTGGTTGTATTGCACCACCGTGTGTGATAGGTTGATGCTGCGATCATGGGTGTTGTTGGGTGTTACTTGTGTATTGTGAGTATTGTGCACCTTTAGTAGGTTGTAATAAATGTGCGATAAGTTATGTATCATGCCTCTATTGTAACCATGCATTACTGCTATGTTTTCTATGCACTTCAGTAATGTACTGCTACAGTAGAGGCATTCTATATGTTAAATAGAAAAATTACAGTTTATATTAATCGGTATATATGTTTTTATATATAATTTAAATAAATTTAAATGTGGTTACTATTTTATAAGTCTAATTTTTAAAAATGTTCAATTATTTAATATATTAAATACATAAAATGAAAAAACTTAAAATAATATTAATTCATGTTAAGAGTATTTTGTTTATTTATTAATTGTGTTAATTAAGACATTTATGTTTACAGTTTCTTTATTATATTGTATTTTTCCATTATGGTCTCTGAAGATTATTTTATACATTTGAAAGACTAAGTATCTTTAGTCGATTTCTTTATTGTTTATAAATAATAGATTCAGTTTCATAATTTAGAATAACAATTAACTTTATTCTCTTAAATTCATCTGGACAATTTACACTACCATTCTTAATGGTTTTTAAAAACTAATTCTGAATTATTTTTACTGTTAAAAGCAAAATTAATTTCTTTTCAGATTAAACTTTCAACTGTTAATTTAACTTTATTCAATTCATGTGAGAACTAAGTATTTCATAATGAATAATATGATTATTTTTATTTTTATTAATTTCATCAGAGATTTATAATTATTTTTTTATTTATCATTTAAAAAAAATTAATGTAAAAGTTGATATTGAAATACAGTGGAACCTCGGTATACGACCTTAATCCATTCCTAATGTTTGGACTTATACCGAATAGGACGTATACCGAACCAACCTTTCCCATAAGAAGTAATGTAAAAATGATTAATCTGTTCTCATGAAAAAAATGGCTGACTTTAAACACCTCGCTTTCCTGGCTAGTTCCTGCTTGATTTTTCGTGAGATCAGCGTGTATCTTTTTAGCTTTCTCGCAAATAATTGCTTCCGATACGCTGTCGCCAGCACACTGTTTTTCAGTTATCCAAAGCAAAAGCAATTTCTCGACACAATCTAATGTTTTCAATCTGTTTAGAAATTGATATAACTCCTTTCGCAACATTAGCAGATTTAATAATGTCTTTATTTTTTGCGATTGTCGATATCGTCGTTCTCGGAATACGGTATGCAGCAATTGAAATCTCGAACACGCATGCCACCTTCATATTTCTCAACAATCTCTTTTTTCAGTTCCATTGTGATTCTAGTCATTTTTTTAGTTTTCTGTTGCTTTTCATTTGCCTTTTTGCAATTCATGATTAATAAAAATAATAAAATTTTACTTACAAATTAAAATCAGAAGAAATTTAACAAAGTTATAAACCGTGGCACCGCGAACGTCTAGTCTGGTCTAGTACACCGATAGTGCTACTTGTTCATAGATGGCGCGTATAATTGAATTAAGTCGTATACCGAACAAAAATCGTATACCGAGCAAAGTTTGTTTCGTCCAAACAGGACGTATTCCAAATTGGACGTATTCTAAAGCAGACGTATACCGAGATACCACTGTATTGTGTAGTTTTAAGTTTTAAAATAAATTAAGAACTAAATATAATTTTAATTAATTTTATGGCAGTTCCTCTAAATTATAATTGAAATGCTAGCAAATAATGTTAGCTTATCATTTATTTATCTAAAATTTAAATAAAAATGAATGTAATAGTTAAATATAAGAATTCTGTTTTTATTTTGTTTTTAAAATTAGAAATCAATTTAAGATTTCATCTGCATCATGAATCATAGGATATCTTGAATTCAATTCAAAATTTTAATTCTCAGGTGGCAGTAATTTCATATTTGTATAAATATTTATTAAAATATATATACATATATCATGATTAATGTATATTTATGATTTGGAAATTGAAATATGATTGATTTTTGCTTTCTATATTTACAAACTTTAAATTTAAATTAAACACTGAAAGATGCTATCTATTTCACCTACTTTTTCATATTAATAATAAAGAGAGTAAATAAATTATGTAAATTGTTTTTCAAATATAGATAAATATTTAAGATTTTACAAAACTGATTGTAATGAAACATCATCCTGAAAAAATTCAATAGTAGTTGTAATTAAAAAAGATGTTTTCAATGTACAGTTGTTTGTTTGTTGATATGAAATATTATTGCAATTATAAAGAAAGATTATATTTTCAGTATTTTTATATAATAATATCATTATTTAAGGCTAATTAATGTATATTATAAAAACCAGGTGCGAATTATACAAGAACAAATATGCTGATAATAGTTTATTCTAACTTAGAATAAATTATTATTGCATATTTGTTCTCATTTATTCTCAATAAAAAGTATATTGACAGTCAAAACTTTCTCTTGAGCATGTGGTGCATGCTAAGCAAGCACAGAGAATTCGCTCCTGATAAAAACAAATATTTTATTCACTTTACATCATTTTTTAAATTTATTTTTTTTATTTTTAAATATTCAATATGAAACAAACTTTTAATTTTTTAGTACCTCCACTATGGAAAATCAAACCTGTAGATAAATCAGTTACCGTAAGTGATAGCATAGTAATTGATTGTCAAGCTGAAGGATTTCCTGAACCACGTATTTGGTGGGAAAAATCTTCTGGTAAGTTATTTCTAGTCAATATTAGTATAATACATAAGAAAACAAATTTATATTGAAACACATAGAAATGTATTTTTTCCGCTATTTTCTTTTTACAACAATACAAAAGAAAAAGTTGCATTTTCACTGATATTTTATATATTGTATTTAAATTGAATTATTATTTTAAGGTCTCTGAAGATTATTTTATACATTTGAAAGACTAAGTATCTTTAGTCGATTTCTTTATTGTTTATAAATAATAGATTCAGTTTCATAATTTAGAATAACAATTAACTTTATTCTCTTAAATTCATCTGGACAATTTACACTACCATTCTTAATGGTTTTTAAAAACTAATTCTGAATTATTTTTACTGTTAAAAGCAAAATTAATTTCTTTTCAGATTAAACTTTCAACTGTTAATTTAACTTTATTCAATTCATGTGAGAACTAAGTATTTCATAATGAATAATATGATTATTTTTATTTTTATTAATTTCATCAGAGATTTATAATTATTTTTTTATTTATCATTTAAAAAAAATTAATGTAAAAGTTGATATTGAAATACAGTGGAACCTCGGTATACGACCTTAATCCATTCCTAATGTTTGGACTTATACCGAATAGGACGTATACCGAACCAACCTTTCCCATAAGAAGTAATGTAAAAATGATTAATCTGTTCTCATGAAAAAAATGGCTGACTTTAAACACCTCGCTTTCCTGGCTAGTTCCTGCTTGATTTTTCGTGAGATCAGCGTGTATCTTTTTAGCTTTCTCGCAAATAATTGCTTCCGATACGCTGTCGCCAGCACACTGTTTTTCAGTTATCCAAAGCAAAAGCAATTTCTCGACACAATCTAATGTTTTCAATCTGTTTAGAAATTGATATAACTCCTTTCGCAACATTANACTTTGTTGCAGCTATCTTTAGATTGACATAAGAAAGTTTGAGTTGAAATGTTCTAAGATGTTTTTCTTTTATCTAATGTCTTTAATATTTTGGCATTTTTCCATATTTCAACATAGCAGTTCCAAAAATATTGAAATAAATGACTTGTAAATTGATTCTGAATAATCTAAATTCAATAAATCAACTATTGATTCAAGCATACACAACAACTTTTAAAATTCAACTCAACACAAAGAAAGTCACTAAAAATAATAGTAATATGTAAAAATATTTTAAAGTTTTAAATTTTATTGTTATAATATATTTAAAAATAATAATATAGCCACTTATCCATTCATAAATATGTACAGTATTTGCTTATTATGATAATTACAGATATTGTTAGTCATTTAATTTTGTCAGAATTAGCAAGTTCTAAAACAAATAAGTTAAAATACACTACAAAAGCTTTACTTATTGGAATTAGAATTTGATTATAATTATCATTATCTTCAGATAAGTAGACGTTTCAAAACTATCTTTTCATGCTACTAGCTGCAGTGTGTGGTTGATGAAGTGCAATTGTTATCAGTCTTATTCAGCTTGAATGCTAAACATTAATTGGTATTTGCTTGTAGTATAGTAGTTCAAATTTTTGGCCCTTGACACTTTAATTATACATTAGTTGTCATTAAAGATGTATTATTGCAAAAATTATCATGTAAGCAACATAATGAATTACTATTAATTAATAATAATTATAATTAACAAACGTTTAAGTTATACATGTTTTAATTGTTTTAACATGATCTTTTAATGTCAGAGTCAATGAAAGAAGAATTTACACTAATTATATTCTTATTTATTTACTCTGCTTAATATTATCAGTATAGTTAAGTCAAAAATGATTACAATAAGCATATTCTATTGTATATTACATACAATGCATTCATATGTAATATTATATATACATATCTGTTAATTCAACACTCATAATTTGATCAAACTAGTGTTAGAAATATCAACTTTTAAGTTTTTTATAAATAATAAAGAAACAAAAACTAAATTTATGCATATAAATATTTGCATGAATCTGAAAGTTTTTATTAAAGTTAGGTGTTTTCTGATCTTTTTCATTGATTTGAATAATTTATTTTTGGTCATTAAAATTTACTATCATTTCTATCAAATGTGAATAATTTTAAAAGCATGTATATTTATTATATTTCTGATATGTTTGTTTTATATGAGTAAATCTTATTTAAATATTCAATTTATTTACATACATATGTATATACAGTGATACCTTGAACTTACGCAATAGGTGGGACCGAGCGATAACTGCGTAAGTCGAATTTGCGTAAGTCGGGGTATAATTTCACATTTAAATACATACAAATAATTTTTTATTGGGGCCAGAGACTAAAGAAAACAATAATTTAGAAAAAAATGTTTAATAAAATCTTAGATAATACATATGTATAACAAATTAGGCCTATATTATTTTACAATTTTTCACATTTACTTGATTATTACGCCATAATTTTAACATTGTTTCCATCTCAGCGATAATACTGTGACGTTTACGAATGATGCTTGAATTTAAAGATTGAGCATTTTTCACAGCTTCGAGAATTTTTTCTTTGCCTTTTATAATTGTTCTGACCGACAATTCCGGTAGATCAAACTTCTTTGCCAATTCACAAATTTTCATTTTTGTATCGAAGTCTTTAATAATGGGTACGTTCGTAAAGTCAAACGAGTTAAACGCGTTAGTAACGAATCGTTCGAAAAGTCTAACGAAATAGGAATAACGATGACTTCATTCTCGCTTAACTCGTTCGACTTTACGAACATACCCAATGTTAACTTTACATTCCAAAGATAAAGTTTTTCTTTTCTTGTTTGATGCAGAAGAATTAGTTCTACTTCGTTTGGATGACATAGTAGAGTCTCTCGAGTCTCCGTAGATATAACAAACACAGAAATAAATAACACAAAATAAATTGTAGCTATGTGTGGATTCCGCGCGACACATCCGAACATGTAAGCTGAACAATAGTGTGGGGGGAGTGAGTAATCAAGGGTTGCGTGGCGCTCAAACAAAAGACGAATCGTCGAGATTTGAAAATCGCGTAACTCCGGGTTCGCGTAAGTCGGGGTAGCTTAAGTCGAGGTATTACTGTATATATTAAAATAATAATAATAATATATAATATATCTATTATATATTATTATTATTTTTATATTTTATATATATACTAGCTGTTACCCGCGACTTCGTCTGCAAAGGTTTTGCAAGCAAACCCCATTTACATTCAATATTTCAATAACCATAGTAATTGTTATATAACACCTACTGCTGAAGAGAATTGCCGAGAATCAAACGAACTATTTTCAATTTGATCAATTTTTTGGAACATTTACAATCATTCTATAATCGAACCAATATGCAATAACAAATTCAAATTTAAAATGGTTCGAACATTTTTAAAATCGAAATGGATAAAAATATTTATAACAATGTCTGAAATGTTATTAATTTAAATACACCTAAGTACTCGATTAAGACTATATCCTCTCCCTTGGCCTTATGTTATTAAAGAATATATATTGATGTTCTTATATTTTAGTTTTTAGTTTCTAAAATTAACTTTAGTTTCTAATTAATTTTTATGAGATCCAGGCTGGCCTAATTGACACCAGTGTAAGGTTTTCAGTGTGGAGTTTTATATGGTCTTTTTAGCTTTCTTATCATTGAATGTAAATGATTACACTCAGAAATTTTTGACACCAAGTAGTTATGCTTACTACTTGTTGAGTTTTTGAGCATTTTTATGCATATATGAAGTCTTGTATGTGAGGTTAGGGGTAAGAGAATGGAGTAGGAAATGACAAGATTCAGTTGGAAGGAGTCACTCAACACAGTTAACTACACTTAAACACTACTTATTAAACAGCACAAACGTTTGTACAATATGTTACACAGCTAAGTTAGACTAAATGTTTGCATTTATGCATGTTATCATCGCAGAGAGAGAGAAAGAGTTCACAAATTTCGGTATGTTACAAGTGTGAACTAGAAATGCCATGTTGAGGAGAACAGGAAATAAGTTTTTGATGTTGATTAACAGTTCTGGAGAGTAGCAGCAGAAGGATGACAAGAAATTTGAAGGTACGGAAATCTAAAGAAGGCACATGAATGAAACGGCAGATGGTAATAGCATACAGGCACAAATCTTAAAAGTTTGAAGAGTGGGTGATGACTGACTAAAATCGGCTATTCTCTGTCATGTTCAATGATGCAAATTCCTTAGAGGTAACTAAAAGTCAAGGGAAAGGTGTCATAAGGTGTCACTATCAGCTCAGACAAAGCGTAAGTTGACACTCTCAAATCAGAAAGTTGACATATACTAGTTTCTGATGAGGTCATCATCAGGATTGTTTTCCTTTAACTTGTTCAATTCTTACATTTTGTAATATTTTTAGTATATAAATAGATATAATCAACTTCAAAAACCACTTTGTTCACAATTCACAAAACGTTTATAATAACTAATAAAATTACATACACTTACAAAGATCACAAGAGATACAATTTATATTACAAATTTGTGATATTTACAATATGGTTTCAGATACAAAATATCAAAGTCCAAAAGTCAATTAATTCCACAACAACAGGTCTGTCAAAAAGTGCTCCTTGCAACATATTTCTTCAGATGTTGGTCACCGCAACTGTGAGACGAACCAACCTTCTAGGCAAACTTAGGCAAAGCTAAACAAACTTGAGTTCCTTTATCAGCTCTTAGGCGAACTGAAACTCTTACCTAAATTTAATTCTTTTATACGGATTGAAGCAAGCGCTGATCTACCAATCAGTGCTCAGTAGTGCTGTCCGCTGATCGTACAATGTTCGCTGGCCAATCCACGATCGTGGATTCAAAACCACCAGTCGTCTCCTGATCCAAGCCTTTACAGCGTTGACCATTGCTCGTTTGAAAAGGAAAAGGGCGGGAAACGTACGTCCAGATGTTTCCATCCCGACAGATATGAAATAGCGACCGCCAGGTGGCGTCAAGTTTAAACAGCGCTGTGCTTTTGTTCTGGTTTTATTTTCATATTTAATATATTTTCCACCTCTTTAATGACACTTGATTATCTTATTTTGGCTTCTTAACCTTTGTTGTGCATGTGAGTACCAATTTCTGTTTTACTTCGTTGCTAGTCAACCTTACTGTCGACCACGTGGCTTGGTGAGTTAGCTAAGCCTAATCTGCAGCACGATGCCGGGGCGCAAATCGAAAGCCACCCCAGAAAACGTGTCTGCAACTTTAAATGAAATATCGAAACTAGGATTTACGGAAGTCATCAACCAACTTAAAAGTATTTATCAGCCCATAGTGAATAAACGCCCACTTAACCAACAAGAAAGTTACACAATAGATCAGTTAATACAAAGAATAACTGACATTCATTTATGCTGTTTAGACAAATACAATGTGGTACAAGAAGATATAGTTAAACTACAAGAGGATAAAATTCAGCATCAATCACAACTAAAATCATATGCAAATGCTGTCAAAGCTTCAAGAGTAAAAGTTCATAACCAGCCTGGCCAAGCACAAAAAAGGGAGACATTAATATTAACTCCAGGGATTAAAAACTCGCAAGTGGACAGAAATACTGTCAGAAGTCACTTAGAAGCTGTTCTAAAACCAGCAGCCAATGGTATCAGGATCGACTCCTGTCTAGTGCAGAAAGATGGGAAAGTCAGCCTACAATTATCCAACACTGCCAGTGTCGATAAAATTATTAATCTCATCAATAACAATCATGACTCTGAATTCAAATTTTCGGCAAGCAAGAAAACTAAGAGAAAGCCTTTAGTTCAAATCCACCATGTGTGCTCTAACTTAAATAAAGAGGAGTTGATTAACACTGTCACTGCACAGAATGACAACTTAAAAAATATACTAGAAGAAAAAGATCAAATACTACAACCACTATTCTCCTTCAGATCCAAGGCAGACTCTGCTCAGGAAAAAACATGGGTTTTCTTGACCTCACCTCAAGTTCATCAAAGTTTACTGAAAAACAGAAGGGTGTATATAGGACTTAGATCTCATCAAGTCCTCAACTACTTAGGAATCAAACAATGCTACAACTGCTGCAAATTTGGTCACATTGCTTCAAAATGTGTACCGGAACAACCTGCCTGCTCACACTGTGGAGTAGAGGGTCACAGCTATAGAACCTGTGTGGAAAAGACCAAGTCGTCTGTTATTAAGTGCATCAATTGTATCCGATGGGCTAAACGACTAAAAATGAATGTTCAAAATATTTCTCACAAAGCCACTGACCCAGAATGTCCTGTATATTTAAAAGTAAAATCAAAACTTATTGAAAATACGGACTATGGAGAGGCCACATACCAAGAAACATATTAAAATTGTTCAATTTANATGTATAACCGGGCAGAAACTGCCTTTTGCTTTTGTTCCACAGGAAACCTTGATACTGTTGACCATATGATCTACCATTGTCCTATTTATGATCAAGATAGACTTATAATGAAATTAGAAATCTTCATGCATGGTTTCAGGTGGCCATGTCCACTGGATAAACTTGTACAGAAGCCTCTGTTTGATACCTTTTACAGTTATATTCAAAATATATGGAAGAAAAGACTTTTCATAATTTCTAATTTCTAATATTACTTTTAGTCTTCACTAAAAGCAGAACTTTCTAATTTTATGTTTACTTTGAATCATTTATCTTGCTTTATGTATCTTAGTGTTATACTCCCATAGGAGTGGTGCACTTATCTAATAAAAAAAAAAAAAAAGATATGAAATAGCTAAAAGAAATAAAAGAACTAATAGATACAAAAAAGATAGAAAACAAAACAGTATTTAACAAACAGTTTACAAATTTCTCTATTAGTCTTTTTAAAAAAAAAATACAAATCTTAAGCAGTCAAAGACAAAGTCAAAGAGTTCCTTCAAATCCTTCATGATGAAGACTTCATTCAGTTTAGTAACAAATATAAAAGAAGAAAGAAATTCTTGAATTTGAACTTTTTCATGTGCTGTTCCAAAATCAATAAAAGACATATGAAACCTTTTAAATAGTTATGTAGTTTAAATAGAATTATTAGAAGGTTTTATAATTATGTAGTAAATATTCGAAAAACAGAAATGAAAAATCTTGGAATCTGACAAAGATGTCTCTACATTTTATTTGATATTTCTTAACCGTGACATAATCTTAGGATGAATGCCACACAATGAAATTGTATATGAAATGTGCACACAATAAATATAAAAGTAAATTGTTTTAGACTTATATGAATGAATTTGAACAGTTAATTCATATTTTAAATTCAGTTTTTTTTTAATTAATTCACATTTTTATTAGTCTTACAATAATTATTTTTATTTATTTATTCAAAAGGTTCTTCACCAGGAGATTATCAAACTATAATCAGTAATTCACATATTCATACTTTGGAAAATGGTTCATTAATGATTAAAGAAATTGAACAAGCTGATGCTGGATTTTATTTATGTCAAGCTACAAATGGAATAGGAACTGGCTTAAGTAAAGTAGTAGAATTAACTGTTCATGGTAAGTTTACAGCAATTAAAGTATTTTTATTTAATTTGTCTTTATAGCAATTATTTTGTTATTATAGCAAGTTTATCCATTTGTAAATCAAACGATTTACAAATGATTAAACTTAATATAATAATCATCATGTACCATCTTTGTTTTAAGAAATTTGGCTACCATGTATTGTCGACTTTTCCTATCACTTGCTTTTCTTTTGTCTACTTGATAGTTAGGAATTTTAACCCAATCTTTGAAATCCTGAAATCAATTTTTCCTTGGACTTTTGCATTTTGGGTATTTCCTAGGAAATCCTTTGTTTTATTGTCAGAAGATTCTCTTAGAATATGGCCTGCAAAGTTTAGTTTACATTCTTTACAGCCTTGAAAATACATGGAGTGGTGAGATTGCCTCCTTCCTTAGCATTTTAATGGTTTAAATATTGAGTACCATATTTAAATCCTTAGAAATTCTTTAAAATTACAAAAATTCACTTGGCTATTACTGTCCTTGTGATAAATTCTTTTTTGTTTTCTCCATTCAAGGTTATATAGTTATCCAAATATTTGAAACTGTCTACCACATGTACATTTTTAACCTACATTGATACATATTAAACCACCGTTTACATCTACATATATTAAAAATGTTATCTAACTTAACCTATCTCATCACCAAATAATCACCTAAATAATTGGACCATAATCCAATTATTTAGGCTATTGTTTGGTGATGTTTCTATATACATATCGGGCTTTATGATGTTTCATATACTTAACCTATCTATATTGCATTTATTATTGAGGACCATTATTTTAGTCTTATCTTAGTTGATTTCAAGTTGATATGATTGATCTATCGCATTGAGTTTGGATAGCATTTTTATCATTTTACCTTTTTTTCTAGTAATAATAATTGTCATTAGCCTAACAGATATTATTAAAATTTTTTCCTCTTAATGAAATTCCTTGGTTATCCTTCAAAGTTTCCTGATTAAGTCTTTCACTGTAAATATTAAATAATGATGGTGAAATCACATAACCCTGCCTAACCCTTTGTTCAATGTTGAATCACTTTATCAGTTCATTTTCAATTTTAAAAGCCCAACTTGTTGTCTATAAAGTATTTTTATAATATACAAATCAAATTTATTACTCCTAGAGGAACTGCACTTGTGCAGTACAACTATAAACCCTACAACCCATCTACTGCAGTAAAAATTTCTTTATTAGAATAAAGGAATTTTTACTGCATTAGATGGTTGTAGGGTTGGTAATTATGTAAATCACATTTATTTATATCAGGGGTCACCAAACTATGGCCCATGAGGTCAGCTCATTCAGCCCGTTGTCACACTGTGCCACAAATTAGCTAAAATGTAGTTATTTATATGTAAATTTCGTAGATTGTAGATAAACTTACTATGTAGAAAAATTAAAATAAATGTAAGCAAAAAGCCAAAATTGGCCCAATGTAATTTTTGCATTTGACGATAATATAATGTTTAGTAAAATCAGTGAAATAAAAAGTTTGGCGACTTTGGCTATTAGAGTGTGTTTTGCCTAAGTGCCTGCAATGAAATTTTTAAGAAAGCAGATTATGAGCTTGCTGCAGTGATCATGTTTGTGTACTGGTAAATAAATATGTTGGTCGTCTCTACTTTTTGTGTATTCAGTGTGCTGTATTGAACAAAATGGTTATGCGGCCCACACTCAACATTCTGTCAGTTATTTGGCCCACTGTGAAAAAAGTTTGGTTACCCCTGGTTTATACCAATGATAATTAGAGAATAAAAAATTTGTTAATTCTTTGATTACAAACAACTTATATATTATATTAATAAGTTATAAAATAATCATTTTCATGTGATAACTAATATTTTTTACTATATTTTTGAAATGTAATTAAAAATTATATCAGATTTTATGCTGAGGTATAGTCACATGATAAATTATTTTAAAAACTATAGTAAAAATAAAATTATATTGTAAAATCTATTATATCTAGAAAATATTACTACTGTTTCAATAAACCAAATTAAAAATATTACAATTTAGTTATTTGTTTTTAAAATTCTTAATGAATAGAATTTGCTTATAATATACATATATCACTGTGTATCACTAATTAAAAAATTTAATTATTAGAAATTATATTAATATAAACAAATAATATATATATTATTTACACTATTCATTTATTTGTTTAAAATAATTAGGTTTACCTTAAATTCAACATACTGAAAGATTTAATTATTTTTTTATTTTATTTAGCTACAAAGTATTTTATTTTAACTTTAGAATAGAAGAAATCTCTTGATTTTGTTAGTAAACTGAATGCTTAAGATTTAAAAGTTGTAAATATTCATTAACATTATTTCCTTGATGTTAGATGTTCAAGAATTTATATATAATATTGTTTTATGTGTTCTATAATTTATATGTTTTAAATTGAAATGTTTACCATATATTAGGATAACTTAGTTAAAGAAGTATTCATTTTTCTTTAATTCCATATTCTGACAACTTTTTTACAAACATCAATTACTTAAAAATTTTTTATTTAAATATTTAGAAAGATATATAGTGTGTCCAGGAATAAACAGACCACCTTTAATATCTCATTATCTCTCCAAAACTGGAATTGTATAAACACACAATGCACAAAACCAACACCAAGCACTGTGAAAAAAAAAATTCACTAACATTTTTTTCTATATAAAAATATCATCAGGTAAAAACGATATAGGACAAAATGGCCAACAAAAATCAAGTTTTTTTTTTTTTTTTTTTTTGAGATGTTCCAACTGATTATGTAACGTATGAAACCAAAATTAACATATAAATTTTAAATGCAATATATTCTAATTACATAATCAGTTGGAATATCTCAAAAAAAAAAAAAAAAAAAAAAAAAAAAAGCATTCAATTTTTGTTAGCCATTTTGTTCTATATCATTTTTACGTGATGATGTATATTTTTATATAGATGAAAACGTTAGTAAATTTTTTCTTTTCACAGTGCTGGTTTTATACATTGTGTGTTTAATATCTTGTGTTTTGCCCAATGTAGAGTGTGTCGAGGTTTTGTTTTAAGGCTTTTCACATGAATTATCTTCTAGTGTAGTTGAGAACTCCAAAGATTTTTTGAGTTTGATTTAAAAAAAATGAAAAAATATGTATAGGGATACAACTTATAATAAGAAAGGAAATAAATTTATAACATTAATGAAAAGCACTCATCAAGACCTTCTAACAGTGCTAAAATATTTTGCTACAATTAATGTAACCAGACATCTTGCATTTTAAAATAATTAAATAATAATGAACATATGTAATTAATATATGGAAAAAAACAAAAGTGTTTCTTTACTTTAAACAAAAAGGAATACTTTATGCAAAGTAAACAAGGTGATGTCATCACCATAGACTTGCTTAATATATGTTTGAACTAATGTTTATTGCAGTTGAATTTATCACCTCTACTGTAAATTGATTTCTCTTTTAAATCATGAAATTTATGTTGAAAATCATATACAAATGCTGCTCCCTTATTTTTGAAATGGTAATTGAGGTTAGCAACAGATTTGCTTAATGAACAGAATCCAAATTGTCCACCTTGTAAGCACAGGGTTATCGGTAAGTAAAATCATCTATATTAAAATGAAATATGAATAATTACAACCAAGTTCGCAAGAGGTTATTTGATATTTTTGATATTAAGAATAAGTAATATCTTCTGTGTTTTATAGAAGAATTGTTAAAAAATTTATGTAGATGGGATCTGTAGTGCCTGGCGAAAAAAATCAGGAGGATGAAATCAGTGATCAAATAGGATCAATCCTTATATATAATTGCCTGTATGTTACTCTTAAATATCTCTTAGAAGAGCATGAGAAAGTGTCATGAGTTGAATGTTTGTGAGTGGAATTTTAAAAAAATAAAGATATTGTTCTTATAAAGTGAAATCTGTTCATCAGCTTTTTCCAGATTTTCAAGACTGATTGGCATTCTTTAATACAATAAAAGAAAAATAGCCAATGATGAAAACTTTGCACATCAGATTATTTTTACTGATGAGCAACACTTGTAAAGCTTTCTAGTTCCTTGTCATATTATTGGAGTGACAGCAATTCTCATCATTGTAGACTGTAGAAAGCCATAGTTAATAAGTACATAGAAAAAGTAAATGTTTGGGCAGGCATATGGAATAATCGATTAGTCAGCCCATTTTTATTTGAAGGAAATTTCTATTGAGAACTATTAGAAGAAAAAGTTTGACCAGCTATTTAAGATAGAGGAACCAATTTTCATGCATGATGGCTACTCAGTCCATTATTCTTAGAAATTGGATCAGAAGAGGAGGTGCCCTCTTTTTCTCTGGGTTGTCTTTTTCATAATCCTCAAGGGAACTCCCTAAATTCCATTATCAACAAACAACAGAAAATTCATGACTTTAGCCTATTCTGCAAATATGAAAGAAACTAATGAATGATATTTGTTTTTTGTTCCATGCAATTTTGTTGTATGTTGACCAAAACTTGGCCTTGACTGCAACCACCTTGGGGAGTGCTGATTAAACATTAAATTATAGTCTGAAGCTTCTTCCATAATGAATGATGCCCTTTTTTATAGCTTGTGACCCCTCTTTTTTGTAGTCTGTGGGCACCACTGCATATATAAAAATATATATAATTTAAAATTATATACATATATTTTATATTAAATATTTTAAAAATATACAGTGTGGTTGAAGATAATTTAGCTGGGTTTTCTTATCTGGGTAGATGCAAATTTTTAGTTTGGAAAAGTGTATTGAATACATTATTCAAAATCAATTTAGAGTATGTTGACAAATTTAACTTAAATGTAATTATTATAATGTTATAATTTTTAATTTAAATTGGCTTAATCAAATTGTTTTTTATAATTAGAAAATTTCCATTATATGTTCAGAACAAAAAATAACAATAGCAATAATTAAAAAAAAATCAAAAATTACATTATTTAAGTTACAGTAGACTCTGGATTTAACAAACAAAAAATTTTTGTCATAAAGCATGTTTTATTTGCAGATAGTCTGCTAAAAGGTTGATCAGTGAGTAAATGAGTATAAATTACACAATGTAGTACATTATAATAATATTTTATTCATATATTCTAACAACATATTAATACATTCTGTACATTGTAAGTTCATTATTAATATGTGTTTTTAAAACACATTTGATTTAATGAACTTTTAGCAATAGCAGCCACCCCTTCCCCTTCCTTCAATTTGAGTCTAAATATGTACATTATGTTCTAGTATGATGTGATATAAATAAAAATTAAAATTTTTAAATGTAAAAAGTATTCACTTTTTCAATTTTTCGTTTTTGTCAATTTAGTTGCAGCTTATTTTAAAGCAAAATTCAGTGCATTAACACTAAAAAAAGGAGATAATGCTCAACTTCAATGTCAAGCTTTTGGAGAGTTGCCAATAACTATCACATGGAGCAAAGATAGACAGTCATTTGAACATCCTTCAGATCCTAGGTAAGTCATATTTTATTTAAAATAATTTTTTCCACATGATAATAACAAATATGTTAACTTTTCATACTGATAAGTTGAAATCTTCAAATTAAAGATAGTTTGTTGTTTTGATGTAAACAATACTTGGAATACACAAATTTAGACATTTAAAAATCTGATTTTTAAAGCCAAATAATACCTCTAGGCCAAATTACTTAACATTTAATTATTAACAGTAGCATTAATATAGCCCAAAATAATCTGGAAATCATTTGACTTTATTTGGAATAGTTCAGTTTGTCATTTTTAAGTTTTTAGTATTCTTAATTTTTCAATAAAAATAATAGTGTACACTTACACTGTTTATATCTTACCTATTATCTTATACATATATTGGAAACTGAAATATTAATACTTATATTAAGTTATTTTTAATGTATTTTAATATCTGAAGTTTAAAAGTTTCTAATTACATTAACTTTGTTATATAAATTATATCTTAAAGTAAATGAAATTATAATTAAACAAAAAATAAAATGAGCTTTTCTATCCTTCAAAAATATTGTATGCAATTATGTATTTTATAAATGATTCCAAAAATGTAAAATAAGTGAAACCTGATCTTCTTCCTAAATTGACACTTTGTTGCTGTTTAGCAACAAAGTGTCAATTTAGGAAGAAGATTGCCAGCATTGTTGTAAATGTGTAAATAAATCTGTTTTAATTAAGTGCACTTACTGTTTTCCTTTAAAATATCTAAATTTTTAAAGAATAAAACATTTTCATATTTTTATAATTAAAGTTTTCTTTCACTTTGTAATAAGTGAATTATTTTTGTTTGATTAATAATTACCTAGCACTTTAACACTTCTAGCAATTATTTTCTTAAAAAAAACAAAGATTTTCAACCTCTTCATCAGCCCTCTTCAGGTATGTGAAGAATATTTTTGCATAGAAAATATAAAAGATATATGATAATTAAATATGAAATTAAACAAGTAATTAGGTATATTTCAATTGAAATATTTTATGAATTTAAGATGATGTAAAAATTAAACTTTTGTACAATATCAAATGTTATAGATAATAATGGTGTCACTATGAGAATGCAAGTTGTACAGACTGCACTAGTGACATCATCAGAGGGAGTGACACCAAAATAACTTTCCATAAAATTTTTGCAGTGTTTCAACAGAAATTTATTTTTTTATAAAAATCTGTATGTAGTTAGTTATAACAACAAAAATATTTTTCATAAGCCCAGCTTATAAGTATCAATACAAGATAATGATAAAAGATTTTCCTTTGCCAAATATTTCAGAAACTAATAGAGCAAGCACTTTAGACTTTTTTCCAATTTATACTGTCAGGTATGTGCTAAACAATAATGCAAATTTCCACCTCCTTCACTTTTCTATTTGAGAGAGTTATTTTAATCTCTGTCCTTAATGGAAATAGGACAACATTTTAATTATAAAGCTGTAGCAAAAAATACACATTATCATCTTTCAGTAGAGTTTGGAATGTCAGGTGGAATTGTGAAACAGGCTGCCAAATATGATAGGTAAATGCTTCATTGTACAATACAACATATAAGGGATAACAGTGCATCACTGCATAACGTGAATGCAATGTGGAAATGGTTGAATGTGTAGTTAGGTTTATGTTAGCAGTGATATGGATATGCAAATGATCTAATTTAATAGAAAATGTTAAACACTATTAAATACAGTCGACCCCCCTATAATTACGGTCCCTATAATTACGATTCCTATAAAACTACGAAAAAATATACGTATTTTGGAAATGTTGAGTCAGATTAGTGTAGAATCGATTAATTTTATGGAAGAAAACCTTTCAATCAGCCGTAGTCCGTAAACTTGACACGTGTCGGGCTGTGATTGGAACGACTTGTAAGAAATCGGATTCCTAATAAATTGGAACGTATCTATATCTTATAGGGGGTCGACTGTAAAACAATGCTAACCTAAGCTGAATTGCATGTTCAACCACTGCTGCATTGTATTTATGTTGTGCTGTAAAGCATTTACCTGTCATAATTGAGAGTCTGTTTTAAGATTCCACTTAATATTTTAAAATGCACTAAAGGTAACAGTATGTATTATTCATATGCTACAACTATGTAATTAAAGATGTTGCACCATTTTTATTAGGAACTGAGATTACAACAGCCCTCTCCAATAGAATAGCTGGAATGGGTGGAAATTTTTACTATTCTTTAGCATATGTCCATTGTAGTATACATTAGCAATAACTATTACAGTGTTAATAGTTTTGAAATAATTCATCAGAAAGAAATTTTTGTTATCATACTATATAAATAAAATGCTAAAACTATGCATAGTTTCATTTTAAATCATCTAATGCACTCAGGTCAGGACTGTCATTGTTACCAAATTATAATAAAAATATTTTATAAATATATACAATTACAAAAATAAAAGTAAATAAATATAAATACATGTAAAACTGCATGATATATATTGTAATTTAAAGGTATAATTTTAATTCTGTTAATTGTTTGTCATAGCCATTACATTCAGTAATAAATTGTAAGGGAATTGCAATTTAGGAGTAACATTACTACATACTACAAAACATTATTAAAGATTATTTATTGTTTGGTATAAAAACAGATCCATAGGAGTGACACCATAAGTTACTGCACTGGGTGACATCAATCCTGTGATGCCACTGATAGATATTAATTTATAAATAAAAAATGTTACTATTATTATTTTTGTTCAGAGTAATAAAATTAAATTAATTTTACATTATTAAAAATAAATGTTCAAATTCTGATTGAAAAATAATTAAAGTAACATAAACAAATAAAGAAATATTTTTCATTTTTATTTGTTATTCATAATGATTTTTTAAAACTTAATGTTCTTTAAGGATGATTACATATTGCTATTAAATATCAATAAAATTATCCTGATTTTAAATTAAAATCATTTAAATTTGCTAAAAAATTTTTTGACTTCTGAAATTTAAAATCTAAATAAATGATTTTATTACGAGTAAAATTATAAAGAGAAAGTAGAAAGTTAATTTTTAAAATTCAGTTAAGATAATTAATGAACAAATAATTGGCAAATGCTTATTATCTATATATATAAAAATGAATGTATGTCTGTTGGTGTGTCCTTCATGCATTACTACACCATTTATCTGATTGCCATGAAACTTTGGGAAGTTGTTTAATACACTCCTGTGAAGGTTTCTGGCATAGTACATTTATCCTACAATAGATGGCGCGCATATATATGAGCATTTCATCGTGAGCATTTCAGCACTGTTAGGAGTTGAAACTCGAAATTTGGTACACAGTTAGGGTACGCCACGAGAACACATACTAACAAGGGATTTTTCGAAATTTCACCCCATGGGGAAAGGAACAGAATTAAGGCTTCAACAATGGAAGTGTTAAGAGAAAGCAATGTGCAAGATTTACAGGTGCAAATGCAGTTTTTTGCATTAAATCGGACATAATTTTAGACCCAACTAAAAATTTTCTAATTAGTCTGGAAACAGGGAAACCTAATTCTTGCATTCTGTGAAAATGGATAAGATTGGCTGTAATGTAATCTTAATCTTCGCTATTGTTACTTTTTGCCCAAGCAACACCGGGCTTATCTGCTAGTTATTAAATAAAAACAAGCCATAAATTTTAATACAGTGGGTGATCGGTTAATGAACATAATCTGTTCCAAGACTTTGTTTGTTATCCGAATTGTTTGTTAACTGATTATTGATTTACCATAGGTTTTTATGGGAATTTGATTAATTCATTCCGGAGACTCCAAAAATAAAAAATATATACTTTTTTATTACGTTTATTTATATGTAATAGTAAAAATACATACGTATGCAGTCTTGCATTTTTATTAGTCATCTTTTTCCGTTTGTGGGGGTTAAAGAATCTGTCCAATGTCGATTGCTTTTCTCTTTTCTTCAGGATTTTTCAGAAGTAATTAATAGTATTGTAATTGTAGAGATCCCCAATCCCATTAACCATATTCTGGTTTGGATGCCACTTGGGTGATCATTGTTCTGACATCCTCCCACTTCTTCAAAAGATCTTTAGTAGCAGATTAGTAGTAGTAGTCGACATTGGTCCTCTTTCGTCTTCCTCTTTTTCAAAAGAAAACACATCTCGCTGAGTTTCTTGGTATTCTTCACTTGAGAGTTATCGGAGTTCTTTTGTTGTCAGATCAGTTTCATGTTCCATTATGAGCTCTAAAATGCTCTTTATTTCTCAGATATGATTTTCATTACTCCATTAGCAGCTTGAGACTTCTTGATATATCTTTCATAGCTAAGATTGTGCCTACTGTTCAAGTCATACTGCCTAGCAACATCAGACCTTGTGCCCACTTTCTACCTTGGCTATTATCTCTTACTATGGTGAGCACAGTTCTTGACACTTCTCTTTTTAGGCTCCATAATATTATCTTTTTTAAATAAAAAGTTCAGAAAAGCACTTACAAAAATTCAGAGAACAAAAATCAACTAGCCCACAAAAAATTATTTAAATGCAAGGCCTGGATGAAATTTGAAATTTGGTATTAAAATGGTAACGAATATCCATGGGACAGTTAAATTTTCACCTTTTGTAAATAAACCTCAACACAAAACTTAACAAGTGCCCATCCGACAGTCTTGCAAATGCTATAAAAAATTATTTGTCAGAAAGGTAAACAAAAAGCTGGAATTACAAGGGAGAGTTTCAAAATTCGGAGGAATATTAATACTATTCGATTGGTATCGGGTTGACTTGGGTATGGTGACTTCTCTCGCCCTCTGAAAGGTTTTGAATTGTTACCTGAAGACAAGGGAAAATCAATTGGTATTCGTTATTTTTTGTCGCTTCTTTTTATGTTTGTTCTTTTTACATTCGTTATTTGAACATGTGTTCATTGTCCAATCATAAAAATCTTTCACGAAAGTGTTCATTATCTGAACTGTTCGTTAACCGATCATCCACTGTATATGGTTTGTATTTACTTTAAAACTGAATTAATTAATTCTGTTCTTTTTTTAAGAGATAATAAAACTTAGTTGAATAAAATTATAACAATGTTAAATATTTTAGTTAATTTATTTCATTACTTTATTAGTTTTTTATTTATGATTTACATTTTAATATTTTTTATAACTTTAAACTTTAAAAAATAATTTTGTTTAATTATGTAATTTGTTACAATGTAATAATTATTTGTTAATTTCAGGTATGAAATACAACAAATGGAAGAAGAAGATAATATTCTGTCAACATTAATTATAAAATCTATAGACCGTAGAGATTCTGCCTTGTTTACGTGTTTAGCAGTTAACGCATATGGACAAGATGATACAAATATACAATTGATAATTCAAGGTATTCTTTATAAATTGCACAGTTTGAAAATGCAAAATTTTAAATTAACTATACATCAATACACTTTATATCTAGTTAAGTAATGAGCTGTTAGTTAAATACATACATCTGTTGTTTTGGCATATACTTCAGTTGTTTCTTTAAAAATAATTATATTTCTGTCTGTTATGAAAAATTTTAAGGATAAATTTTTAACACAATAGTAGTTATGTATTTATTTGTGAATTTTATGTTAATTTAAGATATTAATAATATGATACAGATATTTTTATTTATTTTTTTATTTTTTAGTTTTTAATTAAGACTAGGGCTGTTTTATTAATAAAATAACACAAAAGTAAATAATAATCTTAGCTATTATTAGGTTAATTTTTTATATAAATGCAAATATATTATCATCTGCTGATTGAAAAGTAATTAGAATCACAAATTAAGTAAAATAATATCTTTATCTATTTATTCAATCATTATTAAAATTATGTATTTTTTATTTAGTTTTTAAAATTTTAAATGTTCATAATTTATTTCAGCTTATGCATTTTGGTTTATTCAATTATCAGAAAAACATTTTTATAGCTAGCATAATTTAATGTATTTTGATATAAAATATATTAAATTTTAAATTATGTACCAGAATAATATGCATATAAGCTAATAGGTATCAATGAATTGGCATAATTGGCAAATATTTGTAAAAACCAAGTCATTCTCTTAAAAAGAGTACATAAATTTAAAATTTATGTAAGACAAAAAATTAGTATAACAAATAAAGAAATATGTATGATATGTAACCCCATTGCATTGATATTAAATTATTATATCATACACATTATTAAAATTAAACTATTACCTGTAATATTTGGTCACATCACATTTTACATATTAAATAATATTATTGTACCCAACTATTCTATATTACCTTCATTTAACAGAAGTTATTTTTTTACCATAATTTTAGTGAATTTCTTTTAAAACTGCAATTGTCTTTGAGCAATATTCTTAAAATTTGCTTTTTCATTTTAAAATTTTCTTACTTACTTCAAATTGTTAAATTTATTTAATTATTTAAAATAAAAAATTAAATTATTTAAAATTAAAAATTAAATTATTTAATTAATTTACTTCAAATTTTTAATAACGATCAGGAATGTTTGGTTTGAAGACCATAATATTTTTTAAATATTTTGTACATCTAGTGTTTTATTTTTGTTGGAAGATAAAATTTCTATCTGATTGCAAATTTTTAACAGAAGGATATATATATATATATGTATGTATGTATGTATATGTGTGTGTGTGTGTGTGTGTGTGTATATATATATGTATGTATATGTGTGTGTGTGTGTGTGTGTGTGTGTATATATATATGTATGTACTTATAAATTGAGACATATTTGTAAACATTTATCTGAATCAAACATCAATTTTTTTATAGCTATTTATTTTCATATATCACCATGTCATCATACAGTATCTCAGGAATGGAAAGATAATTAACCAATTTTTATTAATTAGTTAATTATCCTTAAATTCCTCAACTTGTATTTCTAATATATTAAGTCTCTTGTATATGTCATTAATATTTAGATCTTTATACATGTTTCCATATATACAGTAGTTAACTTTTATATTTTGTTTCTTATGCTAATTGATTTTTTTTTATATATATTTGTCTCAAAAATAATTTTGATTGGTTGTGTAAAATTTATATTTTATTTTATATTACCACCAATGAGTGTAATGCTTACCAAAACATCCTGTATTGCTACTTTAATCTATATTTTTGTTAAATGAAGTCCATTTGCAAAATGATTTTCTAGTTTATCCTATTCTTTCCAGAAACCTTTCTTTGTTGTAATACTTCAGTTTTATATACTGTACATGAATGATAAAAATTTTCATCTCAGTAAGAAGTCTTCTTTATTTATTATGTCTCCAGGCAGTTAAGAGATGATATGAGACAAATATTTAGATTACAAAAATGTCTTGAGGATAGTTTAGATAAAATTATAATTGAAAAATAAGTCCATGTTAATGTTTTGATACTAACAAAAACATCAAGTCTACATATATAAATAACATCTATTTAACTGGAGAAACAATAGACTTACTTAAGATACCCAAACGTCAGCAGTAATGTGTGATATTAGCACTAGAACTAACATTTTCAAAGTTCTTATGCTTCATCTTCAGATTCTACAGTCATTCAAATGTAGAAAAAATCTTTTTGTCGGACATATTTGTATGGAATGGTTTTTAAAAAAAAACAAACTTCATATGTTACTGGAGTTTGGGTATTTTAAATAAGTCTATTAAGTCTACCATTGTTATTTTTTTATATTATAATAGAATACATTTATATAAATATCTGATATCTATACTTCACCAATAAAGATAAAATGGTTTAACTTCATTGCTATTAGTCTGAGTACTTTGTTAATCTGAAATGTCAATAAGATAAATTTTTATTATCATATAGTTTCATTCAATCAATATAGTTTTAATTTGTTCATAGGCAAATTTCAATGATTATATTGGGTTGTTTGAAAAGTAATTTAGTTTTTTACTATCAGAGGAATTAGTTGTATTATTATCCACCAATTTCATTTTAAACCATATTGTCATTATATATTATGACGGCTGACATTTCAAGGCTTATTTGTAAAAAATTTCATTTGATTCTGTGCAATTGATTTTTTTGGTGTTCCATTAAATATGGAAATTGACTATTATCTTTTGCTAAGTTTCTATAGTGAACATAGTTCTTGACACTCCACTCTTTTTAGGCCCCCATAATATTCAGTTTTTTTTAAAAAACTGAATATTATGGGGGCCTAAAAAGCACTTACAAAAATTCGGAGAACTGAAATCAACTAGTGCAAAAAAGGTTATGTGAAACTGTGAAAGTCTTGTTCCTTAAACCATTCATAAATGCCAGTAAAATTTGGTTTTACAAATCTTAAACTCATTGTCAAAGATTTTTATGTTTGGACAACAAACACGTTTGGATAATGAACACCTGACAGAACAAACACAAGAAGAAGCGACAGTGTTCATTATCCAATTTGTTCGTAATCTGAGCTGTTCATTAACTGATCACCCATTACAATTTTATATTCTAAAGTTGTTAATGATCTAAAATCTTCATCCATTGTTTTTTGAACAGAAATAAGATAACAATGCACTATCTCTAATGTTTCTATAGCTTGTAATTTATTAGATGGAGGGTGTACATCACCATCTTTACTATTTTTGCTGTACACATGCACATTTTTTTCTTCTAATACCTGAGTTGTCAATTCTTCTATAGTGTGAACATATTTCAATATCTTTATATCATTTTACTGGGAATAGGGTATCCTTTATCTGATAGTTCTTTTAACAAACTTGATAAGACATCAGAATCAGAACCATTCATGAAATTCACTCTCATTAGAACAAGGTAAGTTTTTCTATTTTTTACTCAACTAAAAATCCTGCACACTTGAAAGAATTTGTAATACAGTAGTTTAAATCAAAACAAAATTCCAACTTTTTTTACAACAACTTTTTTAATACAATTTTGAATGTAAAATGTGTTTGTGATTCATTCCAGTATTGAGAAAAAGATAATTTTAATTAGTGAAATTATTAATAATTCAATAGATTCAATAGCTTTTAAGTTTTCTACTTGTATGCAAGCAACACAGTTTTCAATAATAAAAGCTACTTTTCTTTTTTGGTGTAAAAATTCTATCTAAATTACAAATATGTTTCTGGGAGAAACATATTTTCTCCCAGATTGTTGAAGATAGCCATGAATTTGAATTGGCTTCATACATAACTGGTAGTGATCTAGCATTTTTGAAACATTTTAGTTACTTGCTCCTACTAATCATTAGGGTTTCAGTTTTTCTGCATCATACATGCAAAATTATTAAATGTTGTTTATTCAGCTTTCCTCCTATACATTTGTCATTTTTTTAAATATTAAGGTTTTATTGGGTAAAGAGTAAAATAGACTTGTCTCTTCCTAGTTGAACACATTGCATTCCGAGGATGGGTCATGATATTCTTCAGTGTAATTTCTTTCCAGCTGCTCCACTTACTTTTTTAAAGGAGAGACCATGTCTTTCTTTAAAGCATTCAGTCCATCCATTACTAGCTTTAAAACTTTTTATATTTAGTTCTTTTGCTATTTCCATTGCTTTCTCTTGAAGAACTACACTAGAAATAGGAATGTTTTTGGATTTTACAATTTTAACCAGCAGATAAGAATTTCAACATCTTTAAATTTTGAATTATGTAGCCTTTTCCTTTTTTCTTAACTTTGCAATTGACTACCTTGATATTTTCCTTCTTTAAGAGTATATTATTCAGCATAATCTGAGGAATTCCATGCTCTTTTGCAAAAGCTGTCTTTGTGTAGTTTGTTTTTTATGAAGATTAATGAACTTTCTTTTCTCTTTCAAAGCTAATGACTGGATTTTTCATTTTTTGAGACATTTTAAGTAAAGAACCATAATTGCTTTTGCATTATGATTGCGTCATGGTTTAGTAAGAAAATAGTGTTTCAGACATTTTTGATTAAAAAAAAAAAAGTTTGTTCAAAATTTGTGAAAACAGCCAATTTTTTGAAAAAATACATGTTCTGTATTTTTATTTGTTAAAAATAATATTCATATCTCAAAGACTTTTTTATGTTTATCTAGATTGTACTTTAAAAATCAAACTTTGTTTTGCAACAAAAATAAATTTGATCAGTAAACCAAAGTTACGGATGAATCTAATGACGAATTAATGAGAGTTTAATTATCTTAACATCTATGGAAGATTGAAGGGACTGGGAAAAGTGACTACTAATCCAGAGTGACCACTTATCCAGGTGTCAGTTATTGCAATTTGATTGTACATAGAAACAGTTTTATTGATGAAGACTTAGAATATAAAATTACAGTAATTTATAAATTGTTCTTGTCTTTTTTTTTTTTTTATTATAATAGCTGAATAATAATTTTACTATATTTTATTTTGTCTTTGAAATTTATTATTATTAATTTAAATTTAATCTCAAAAATACCAATATCATAAATCTGTTTCCATAAATTGAATTATTTATTTTATTACATAAGATTATCTTATTGTATCATTGTACATATCATTATCTTATGTAATAAAAATGGACAGTTTGTTATTTCTGTTATTTGACCTCAGTTATCTTATATAAATATGTGTATATATTTATATACACAGTTAAAAGTTCTTTGTGAATTTCAGTCAAATATGTCATTTATCATTTATCCATGTTCTTCTTCTTCTTCTTTTGTCCCTAGCTAGCATTTGGTTGGGGCATCCACGCAACCAGTATGCTGCTGTAGGTGCTGCAGGAAATTGAGCTTTCTCCGCAATGCCCTTCCATTGCCCTTGATCCATGGCCATTGCTTTCGCCTGCCTCAGATCAAGCCATTGGTTCCTGAGATCCTCCTCAACCTGTTTGGTTCACATTTTCTTAGATGTAGAGCATTGGATTTTCCATAAGTCGCTGTCGAAAGAGCAGTTTGTGGGGCATTCAGTTGATATCTATTTGGCACACATGGCCAAACCATCTCAGCCGTCGCTATTGAATTTGCGTCTCAACAGATGGCTGCTGTTGGCATCTGGCCCGGAAGATGTTGTTGGTGATGCAATTCCAAAGGGAGAGAATCTGTCTCAAACATTTCAATTGAAAGATCTCAAGTCTGTCCAAGTTTGTCTTAAGCAGGGTCCAAGTTTCTGACCCGTAGAGAAGGATCAGTATGACTAGTGTATGAAACAGGCGGATCTTGGTCATCAAGGAGATGTTATTCTTCCTCCATACACACCATTTGAGTGAGGCAAATGCATGGGTTGCCTGTCCAATACAGGCATGGGTTTCTTTTGATGATGCTACTTTCTTCTCCTGGATCAGTGACCCCAAGGTATTTAAACTCTTGTACCTGCTCAATCTGGACTCTATTAAGGTAAACAGTTGCCCGCGATCCATCCGTTGTAAATACTTTGGTTTTGTCCACATTATTTTAAGACCATATGACTGAGTGATAGTGGCGATGTCATAAAGCATGTCTGTGGCCACTACATTGTTGTTAGCGAGAACAGCACTGTCGTTGGCAAACATTAGATTAGTTAGAAAGTGGCCATCCCCAAACTGGACACCACATTTCCCATTAAAGGCCTTCCTCATAATTGCATCCACCACAATATTAAACAATAGTGGAGAGACCATGTCTCCTTGACAAACTCCTGTCTGAATGGTAAACTCCTCAGTTCCCCCAGATTTGCAGTTGACTGGTGGAATCTTTTTAGGCTTCCTTAAGTAGTGTGATAACTTTTTGTGGGACATGTTCATTCTCCAGTGCTCTCCATAGTGCAGGCCTATGCACACAGTCAAATGCAGATTTGAAATTAATGAACATGACAACAGTCCGTATGCCACATCTAGTCCTTTCCTCTATAAGTTGACATAAGGCAAAGATTTGATCACAGCAATTACGACCAGGACAGAACACTGCCTGTTCTTCTTAGCCAGTTTCTTTATGGTGTTTTTGTAACCGTGATTGGGTGATCTTCATAAATTTTTTGCCACCGATAGAAAGGAAACTGATACTGCGATAATTACTGCAATCCTGGCTGTCGCCTTTCTTGTGGATTGGCATGATAATAGCTTTCTTCCAGATGATTGGTATTTGTTCTGTGTGCCATATTGTTTTAATGAGTAGATAAAGACGATGGTGCAGTATGTCACCATCAGCCTTGATCACCTCTGTAGTGATCAGATCCAGTCCAGCAGCTTTGCTAATCTTCAGCGATCCAATGGCTGCTTTCACTTCTGCAATTGTAGGCTCTGCATCTGACATAGGTGTTGCAGGCTGGTCAATTGGCAATGGGTCTGCTAACACTCCCTATGGAGTGTCGTGATTGTACAAGTTATTAAAGAACTCCTTCCAATGGTGCAGTTGTTCTGTCGATGATTTTATGAATGTTCCATCTGCTTTCTTTATGGTATCATTTGCTACTTTGGACTTTCCGCTCAGCTTTCTGAGAGTACTGTAGAGGGTATGGTACTCATGTTTGGATGCTGCTGCTTCCAGGTCAGTGGCCACTTTGTTCCAGTACTGCTCTCGATCGATCTTCATTTTCTATCAAATCTCATGATTAAGCTGGCAATATTGCCCATAGTTGGTCAACTTTATTTGTTTCTGTTTGGCCACCAATTCGAGGCAGTCGTCAGATATCCAAGGCTGTGTTCACTGGCGGGCTGGTGGGCACAGGGGCTTGGCACAATCCAGTATCACCTCTGAAATCCATCTCTCCTCCTCATTTATGTCATCAGATATGTCCAGTATGGAGAAGCGGTTTGACAAGGTGATCTGAAATTCCTGTCTGCATGTTTCAATCATAAGTTGTTTCTAGTCTGGTTGAGGTTGTGATGGCGAGGTCTGCTTAGCACATTGTAGTTAATTAAATTTATCCATGTCAATAAGCAAAATATTATTTACTCTTGCTGGTAGACATACTTATGGCAGATATAATTTGTTTATATAGCCCCTTTTTGTGATGTTCTTATATTTGCAGTAAAATCAAATCAACTAAAGATTTAGAGGATTCACTTTCTTGATTATTGTAGCACTAACAATAGATTCCTATTTATAAATAAGATAATTACATTTAAAAAACAGAAAAATGAAAAACATATTATGTTGGGTTTAGTGGGTAATACTCGGTTTAAACCGGTGGCTGTGTACTATGCCGGACCAGAGTCAAGGCATAGCAACCAAAACTAATTAAATAAGTATGTTAGTGTCAGTGTCTGTATTAAGGAATTTCCTAACGATATGACATGTATTCAATATAGCGGCCTTCTGTAGTGTGATGTATGTATTTCTNTTGGTGGATGAATGAGTATATGCTCGCTTAATTAATGTGTTGAATGCCGCTATTTTATATTTACAATTACATAAATTAACTTTTATGTAATTGTAAATATATTTTGATGGAATTTATTGTTATATGCTTAATAATAAATTTATTGGTTTACAGAACCTCCTGACAGTCCTACTAACATCCTTGCATCAGAAATTAGCAGTCGATCTATAACAGTTCGTTGGACACAACCTTATACAGGAAATAGTGCAATAACAGCATACAAAATACAATATAAAGCGGCATCAGGTAAGATGATCTTCTTAAATTACTTTATGCTGATTTAAAGTATCTATATAATTTTGTTTAAATTATATGAATTCTTGATTCAATTAGTTCATTAACAAAGAATTTGACTCTTGTATTAATAATCTTGCTTTAATTTATGGTGAGTATCAAGATTGGAATATCATATTTTGACATTCATAGATGTCATAATAACTTGATGATAAATTATATCAATAAACATTCAATTAAATTTATAAAATTCATTTAATAACAAAAATTTTACATTTGAGATCTCTATTATTATGTGGTCATCACATAAAACTTTACAAAGAGTTAAGTGATTTTCTAAATTAATTTTGAACAACATATTGAATCTCTTATGTCCATTTAATGAGAATTTTTAAGAAAAGAAAAAGTATTATTTGTTAAAATATATTATTGTTGTCAACACAATAATTTCCAAATATAAATTGACCATTACTAACTTGTCATTTATTTCATTTATCGTCTCTCACCACTTATATTATTGTAACAAATGATAGGAAATGTCATTTGTAATTTGTAAAAGATATTAATTGATGTTTTTTAGTAAAGTGAAACTATAGAAAATTGTATGATGGAAAAAATACATGAAATTGATTAGGTTGAAATATAGTTTTCATCAGTCATTTTTCTGGTTAATTGGTAGTTTGATATATTTAAAAAACAGGAAAGAAATGTAATTTATCTTTTGCTGTGGTTTTCTATTAATGTAACTACAGGTTATTGTTAAATAAATAACCTAAGGTAGTATTTTAGTTGTATTTTAGAAGAACTGTTTCATGATCCTACTATGTTTGTTATATGTGATTGATGAAATTAATTTCTACTGAAATATATCAGAAACTTGAGCATTGAAATGTCATCAACATTACTTTCAAGTTGTGACATGTCAAGAAAAAATAAGAAGAGAAGAAATAAAACAAAAAAATCAGTAAAAACTAACATATGAACACAAAAATAAAATCTAGATAAAAATTAAGGTTTCAAATTTTTATCTAGGTTTTATTTTTGTTTTAACCTTAATCAAATCCATCCAACAAACAAAGCTATAATAATAAATACAAATATGTTGCACTAACCTTGTATAGCTTTGCAGATTTCCTGGTGAGGTCACCACTACCTCACCAGGAATTTGTTAGGGAAGAAGTTTCTGGAAGGCGATAGACAAAGGAACTAACAAAGAAAAAAAAAACAAAGGGAATACTAAGAATTAAATATACAAAATAAGGCATATACGGCCACATTAATTTATGTTAGCAACATTAAATAGCAGTATAATATTACAAACAACTATTATTGTTTGATTATATTTGGTTATTAAAATTTGCAAAAATTTTTTGCATATATGTTAAGTGAACAATTTTTAAGTATATATATATTATATATGTACAATAAAATAATGAATGAATGAATGAATGTCACCACCAGCCTTGATCGCTTCTGTAGTGATCAGATCCAGTCCAGCAGCTTTGCTAATCTTCAGCGATCCAATGGCTGCTTTCACTTCTGCAATTGTAGGCTCTGCATCTGACATAGGTGTTGCAGGCTGGTCAATTGGCAATGGGTCTGCTAACACTCCCTATGGAGTGTCGTGATTGTACAAGTTATTAAAGAACTCCTTCCAATGGTGCAGTTGTTCTGTCGATGATTTTATGAATGTTCCATCTGCTTTCTTTATGGTATCATTTGCTACTTTGGACTTTCCGCTCAGCTTTCTGAGAGTACTGTAGAGGGTATGGTACTCATGTTTGGATGCTGCTGCTTCCAGGTCAGTGGCCACTTTGTTCCAGTACTGCTCTCGATCGATCTTCATTTTCTATCAAATCTCATGATTAAGCTGGCAATATTGCCCATAGTTGGTCAACTTTATTTGTTTCTGTTTGGCCACCAATTCGAGGCAGTCGTCAGATATCCAAGGCTGTGTTCACTGGCGGGCTGGTGGGCACAGGGGCTTGGCACAATCCAGTATCACCTCTGAAATCCATCTCTCCTCCTCATTTATGTCATCAGATATGTCCAGTATGGAGAAGCGATTTGACAAGGTGATCTGAAATTCCTGTCTGCATGTTTCAATCATAAGTTGTTTCTAGTCTGGTTGAGGTTGTGATGGCGAGGTCTGCTTAGCACATTGTAGTTAATTAAATNAGCATGTGATTGTTGGGAGGATCTTTAGCATTACGGAGTATATTAAAGACCGTGGGACATCTCCTGTATGTGATATCGATGTTTTTCTTTTTTGCAATCTCTGAGTAGAGTTTCTGTAACCACGGGTTGTAAGTGACCGTAACTCTGTCTTTATGCTCTGGTCTGTCATCTTCCTGCCCTGCGTCTCTTGCGGATACTTGCGGATGGCGTAGTTTCTTGGATAATTTATTCATAAGGTTGTAATAACCATGGCGTTTCGCTATGTTAGCTATGTTTCTATGTTCAGATTCTAGAGCAGCCTTGGTGGATGAATGAGTATATGCTCGCTTAATTAATGTGTTGAATGCCGCTATTTTATATTTACAATTACATAAATTAACTTTTATGTAATTGTAAATATATTTTGATGGAATTTATTGTTATATGCTTAATAATAAATTTATTGGTTTACAGAACCTCCTGACAGTCCTACTAACATCCTTGCATCAGAAATTAGCAGTCGATCTATAACAGTTCGTTGGACACAACCTTATACAGGAAATAGTGCAATAACAGCATACAAAATACAATATAAAGCGGCATCAGGTAAGATGATCTTCTTAAATTACTTTATGCTGATTTAAAGTATCTATATAATTTTGTTTAAATTATATGAATTCTTGATTCAATTAGTTCATTAACAAAGAATTTGACTCTTGTATTAATAATCTTGCTTTAATTTATGGTGAGTATCAAGATTGGAATATCATATTTTGACATTCATAGATGTCAAAATCAATTATAACTATGATAATTAAAATATATATATAAGAATTAGAATAAACTTGTGAATTTAANGAATAATAATTTTACTATATTTTATTTTGTCTTTGAAATTTATTATTATTAATTTAAATTTAATCTCAAAAATACCAATATCATAAATCTGTTTCCATAAATTGAATTATTTATTTTATTACATAAGATTATCTTATTGTATCATTGTACATATCATTATCTTATGTAATAAAAATGGACAGTTTGTTATTTCTGTTATTTGACCTCAGTTATCTTATATAAATATGTGTATATATTTATATACACAGTTAAAAGTTCTTTGTGAATTTCAGTCAAATATGTCATTTATCATTTATCCATGTTCTTCTTCTTCTTCTTTTGTCCCTAGCTAGCATTTGGTTGGGGCATCCACGCAACCAGTATGCTGCTGTAGGTGCTGCAGGAAATTGAGCTTTCTCCGCAATGCCCTTCCATTGCCCTTGATCCATGGCCATTGCTTTCGCCTGCCTCAGATCAAGCCATTGGTTCCTGAGATCCTCCTCAACCTGTTTGGTTCACATTTTCTTAGATGTAGAGCATTGGATTTTCCATAAGTCGCTGTCGAAAGAGCAGTTTGTGGGGCATTCAGTTGATATCTATTTGGCACACATGGCCAAACCATCTCAGCCGTCGCTATTGAATTTGCGTCTCAACAGATGGCTGCTGTTGGCATCTGGCCCGGAAGATGTTGTTGGTGATGCAATTCCAAAGGGAGAGAATCTGTCTCAAACATTTCAATTGAAAGATCTCAAGTCTGTCCAAGTTTGTCTTAAGCAGGGTCCAAGTTTCTGACCCGTAGAGAAGGATCAGTATGACTAGTGTATGAAACAGGCGGATCTTGGTCATCAAGGAGATGTTATTCTTCCTCCATACACACCATTTGAGTGAGGCAAATGCATGGGTTGCCTGTCCAATACAGGCATGGGTTTCTTTTGATGATGCTACTTTCTTCTCCTGGATCAGTGACCCCAAGGTATTTAAACTCTTGTACCTGCTCAATCTGGACTCTATTAAGGTAAACAGTTGCCCGCGATCCATCCGTTGTAAATACTTTGGTTTTGTCCACATTATTTTAAGACCATATGACTGAGTGATAGTGGCGATGTCATAAAGCATGTCTGTGGCCACTACATTGTTGTTAGCGAGAACAGCACTGTCGTTGGCAAACATTAGATTAGTTAGAAAGTGGCCATCCCCAAACTGGACACCACATTTCCCATTAAAGGCCTTCCTCATAATTGCATCCACCACAATATTAAACAATAGTGGAGAGACCATGTCTCCTTGACAAACTCCTGTCTGAATGGTAAACTCCTCAGTTCCCCCAGATTTGCAGTTGACTGGTGGAATCTTTTTAGGCTTCCTTAAGTAGTGTGATAACTTTTTGTGGGACATGTTCATTCTCCAGTGCTCTCCATAGTGCAGGCCTATGCACACAGTCAAATGCAGATTTGAAATTAATGAACATGACAACAGTCCGTATGCCACATCTAGTCCTTTCCTCTATAAGTTGACATAAGGCAAAGATTTGATCACAGCAATTACGACCAGGACAGAACACTGCCTGTTCTTCTTAGCCAGTTTCTTTATGGTGTTTTTGTAACCGTGATTGGGTGATCTTCATAAATTTTTTGCCACCGATAGAAAGGAAACTGATACTGCGATAATTACTGCAATCCTGGCTGTCGCCTTTCTTGTGGATTGGCATGATAATAGCTTTCTTCCAGATGATTGGTATTTGTTCTGTGTGCCATATTGTTTTAATGAGTAGATAAAGACGATGGTGCAGTATGTCACCATCAGCCTTGATCACCTCTGTAGTGATCAGATCCAGTCCAGCAGCTTTGCTAATCTTCAGCGATCCAATGGCTGCTTTCACTTCTGCAATTGTAGGCTCTGCATCTGACATAGGTGTTGCAGGCTGGTCAATTGGCAATGGGTCTGCTAACACTCCCTATGGAGTGTCGTGATTGTACAAGTTATTAAAGAACTCCTTCCAATGGTGCAGTTGTTCTGTC